CCCCTGTTCCCCCTTGTTACGGATATGGAAAGATGTAACGCCACTGACACGCTAGTAGTGGCAACCTGAGTGAAGTTAGGTAAAGATGAAGACGCCCGCAAGGCAGAAAGAAGATTCGCATGTCCGTACTTCAAGCGTGATCCACATAAGCACAATAAAAGCCCGTGTAACGGACCTGGATGGTTTAGAATTCATCAGCTAAAGTAAGTCATGGAAGCTGTCAACGCAGTTGGGTTGATATTGACGCGGCAGTAGAGAACATCTTTATCGCGCCCATGCAGTGTGGACTTGTCAACGTTGTTCTTTAGGGTTAAACTCCGCCGAGGCACTAAATACACATCTAAACGCAGATAAGATCTGCGAAAAACAGGCAGCGCGTGCAAGCGAGGGCGTAGACCAAGACAGGCAATCAAAGCTGCGCTGTAGAAAAGGATGGTCAAAACATTCAGATATCCAAAAGTGGAAGGAAATCTATAAGATGGTGTTTCCTGAAGATGATAGAACCAACCTGCCTAATCCATGTGGGTACGCCTTCAGGAGTTTCTCATTCGTAATCAAGCTCACGATGGATTTTTATAGTTTACGATCGAGATGAGTATTCGCCTGAATCTGCGTACGAACGATATTGTCGACGTGAGCTGCCGCGGAGAGTCCGGGCTGGGGTCGAAAAGCTCATTCAGGAGTATGTCACGCAAATCGGCAAGGATCTTGGTGTTGCTATCGAAGCCGTTGTGCGAGAAAGCTATGACGGAGTCAAATTGACTTACCAAAGGGATATGAGCGCTAGTGCAGATCGAGCAGCTTCAATCTCGATGCCAGCGAATGCGAGTGACCTCATCGCTCATGGAAAAGATTCCGCCCCAACAGGAATTAACGATGCATCCAAAGATTCTCTAAACGAGGCCACGTTCCAACCTCCCGGAATGATATTCGAGGGGGCCATTAATCTGAGGAGTCTAGAACTACCTGCCACGTTTATTGCCACGGACGTCGAAGCCTTCGATGATACTCTCGCCAGTTTCAGCCACTCTACACGGCATATGGGATTTGGATGTTCGTTCGACAACCTTGACGAGCCCATCCCTCCGTCAGCAGATCTATGGCACTACATCAATTCCGGAGCGTCATCTTCTACACTACTGCCTCTTGAGCAGGAATTGGACTACAAGAACAATTCAGATGGCATCGCGGATGACAGGGGCGTCTATAGCATCATACCTCCTAGCAAAGAAGGACTGCGTTGGGACAATGTAGATCTGCTACCGCAAGAGCATGTTCGGTCCCCGGGGACTGAAGTCGATGAGCTCGCGGCTCCAATGGATCTCTGGGAGTCAACATGACCCACTGTCAGTCGCTAGGGAGAAGACGATACCGACTAGTTGCTTTGGAGTCATGGAAAATAGAACTTGCTTAGACGATACCACATTGACAGGGCTGGGCGATTTGCGGTAGCCGCAGGCATGTTTCCTTTTTGGCTCACCCGTTGAGCAAAACGTGGAGCAGGAGGAGGAGATACTCAACACTACGGTAGTTGCTAGTATCATTCCGCACAAAAAACTAGGAGGAGAGGGAGTCTTCCTAGATTTGCAGATCTGTCGCCGCAGCCAGAGCTAGTAGTTTGGTAAGGCTAGCGAGAGCTGCTATCATGGCCGTATCCTCGTAACGTTCTCACACTATATCGTGATATCCTTGGCACGCTAGAGGACTTCTGACATTCAAAGATTAGACGTGGTAAAGTTCGGGACGTGAGACAGATTTATCAGGACGAGAGAGAGAGGACTATAGTTCAGCTTCCCCAGTTCCCCTGATTTCCAACTCTCAGCTTGCCACGCACATTGTATTCATTTGGGAGATCGTCAGCCGGTGCTCTGTGGCCGCCGAGAAATACCAAAACCTGTGGAGACGCCCGGTCGAGTAAGGTCCGGAGGTTTCCCGCATACCAAATTTGAAAATCCAATGCGAAGTCGTGGGTCCAATTTGAATATCTTTGAATAAACGTATTCATACTACTATGCCACGGTTTTGACTCTCTGTACCTTCTCCGCTATCGCTTCCTCATGTTTCTTGACCATAGGTGCTCTTGTTTTCTCTCGGCCCACCTTTCCTCCCGACGTTACAGTTCTTCGTCCCCGGCCCCCTCAATCTCAATTTTGGTAACATATAATTTATCCGCCGGCTCACGATACTCCGTCACAAATTCACACCCAGCGCATACAGCCACGCCGTTAGGTGAACGCTCAGAAAGCTTGATGTGTCGTCTCCGGGTGCTTTCTTGCCTTAGCTGCGGGGATGCGTCTATATGAAAAGAGCGTATCACTGCTGGGTACACATTCACTCTAATGGCCACGCGCGATTAGGTAGGTATGTTCTATACAGTAGCTCTCCCGCTAATAGATTTAGAAGTAATTACTTCAGTTCGCTGCTCTATGCGATTTTTTCCCTTCATCTCAAGAATCTTCCTACAAGTCCTTCGCGATAGCTTCTTGCATCTGCCATTCGATGCAAAACCAGGAAATGAAGTAACAGCCAACGCCGAACGATAATGACACAGCAACACAAAGCGCCGTCACCGTCTCTGTACCCCAAACTGCGGCTTTCCTCTCTTCGTCAAAGACAGCAATCCCAAGCGTTATCAAGGTGAGCACGATGCTGTTTCCTAAAAGCATTGTTGGTATTTGCCACGAGAAATGTCGCCAGCCACTACCCGCGTTGACGTCTGTTATCGGGGATTGAGGGTTGGCAATAGAGCCGAAGAGAATATACTGCATGACCTGTGTACGATGGGGGTGGATGTGAGCTCGGGTGAGCGCGATAAGTTGCTGGGCTGCAATACCAATCGCAACAAGTGAGTGGATCAGTGCACAGAGGGCGACTATTTTCGCTGTATATGCAGGAATGGGAAGCCATGTCCAGGAGAGGAGGGTCGCAATCAGAGATGTCACGAGCGCGCACTGGGTTGCATGGAGTCAGTTGACAATCTATGTAGATTGATCTAAGATTAGGTCGTTTGGAATTACCTACAGATACTATAACAGTAGCTAGTTCCCGTTGTTTTATGTCGACGAATCGATCCATGATATCTTTCTGCTCGTCGAGTGAGGCTTGAACAATAGATCTGGCAATGGTATGCGATACACCAGAAGGCGAATAGGCCACGATGATAGCTCGGCGGACATTTGCTCTGGCCTTGAGTTGTTGAAAACGCCTTAGCGTCTGTTTATTCGATGGACTTCAAATGCGCAAGTCAAACTTACGCGCCGAGTTTTGCTGTCTATCCACCTATATGCCCTTCTCATGAATACTAGAACCCATGCCATTATGTAGCTTCCGATATGCGGATCAGTTGAAAAGCGCCTGGTCTCTAAGTTTGAGTATGGTGGAGGTCAGATTCAAAGCAAGATTAGCCCACCCGCTTTTTTGAGCCGTATTCTATCGCGGAATTGACATGGCTGCCTAGAGGCCGTTTATAAATATCGCATGTTGAATCTGCAGCCTCTCTTACGCCCGTTGACCTAGCGCGGAAACTAAGTCGATCCTGGTTTGCCTCTCTTCTGTTAGTATTCGACCGTCTTCAATATTGATTGGCTAGAAGGGTGCTATTCCACCTAAAGGTGTCCGGCATTGTTACCTAGACGGTAATTCTGAGGCTTGGTTTTAGCGCTGGGTCACCGGACGTGAGGAAAGGCTGTAACAAGATGTAACACAAAGTGTGGGGTCAGATGAAGGACATTTCTTGGCCGCCAATATGATTTGCCTGACCTCGGGTGGTGTCGTGCCACTGGAAACTCATTGGGACAGTTGGCGTATTCACATCACCACCCGATAAGCGTGCAACCACTTAAATGTGGGCCAGAAGAGAAGACGGCTGCTGCCTGGAAGGTTGAGCCAGCTGCTATTATTAAATTTGACCGTCCTCGAGGATGCCCAAGGCCATGTCCACTGTGTATACATACGGCTTGATTGTGCAGTTGATATTAATTCATGTACCTGTCCTCTAGGGGGCACCCGTTTTACACAGCTTCGAATCTTCCTTGACAAGTTGTCTGCGATGTCGACAGTATTGTCGTCCTCTAACTCCGTCGATGACCATACCTGACAATCTCCGCCATATCTAGATCTTCACTACCCCTGCGGGCACTCCTTCATCATCAGGGAAAGATACCCGTCCTTCGAATTGGGCACACTGGTTTCCATCGACAGTGCAACACTGGGGACTATTCGTAGAGAGCCAGAAGATGGACTTACTGGTGGTACCTTCTTCGAACTCGCATTTCCAGGCGGTCGTCTTGGGGTCATGACACGTTCAAGAAGCCTGCGTGAATTGGAGGAAAAGAACAACGGGAAATGGATTCGATGGGAGGATACTTACCATCTCACTGAATATACCGACGAACAAATCGAATCCACCGGTAAGGCATCACTCATGTACCCTCGAGCCACCCCTCAGACATCGTGCTTTCGAGTTCAAAACGCTGATCTTACTCTTGAAAACAGCAAACAAGTTATGCAGGGATCAACTGCAAGGCGATTACGATGTTCGAAACCGCAACTGTCAGACCTTCGCGAATATCCTGATCCAACTCATCGCATATGGCACGGACCTTTACGTTCCCCGTCACACAGCATCGCATGCTTTTGGTGGTGGAGGCCCAAGTGATGAGCATTTGATTGTAACCCACCCCGCAGACCAAGCCAAGACGACCCCTTTCAACGGCAAAAAACTTTTCCAGCCGCCTAACTGGAATGAAATCGGAAAAAGGCATGAGCACGTGTTGAAGAGGAAAGAGAAAGTTCAGCAACCAACAGGCGCAACGGAATACATCGATTTAGATGAGGCTCGGAGGCTCGGAGGCCCGAAGGACCAGGTACTGTGGACAAAAGGCGCGAAGTCGCGCTTGCGTACGCTCGAGGCAAGTCCGGGGCACCAAAGCCTGATTGGGTTGAGCCACCTCGGTTTTCGGTGGGAATACCAAATGAAACTCGAAGAGCCTTAGATCAGCAAAGGCGAGAGCAGCAGTCTCAAGAGAATACCGCCTTTGAGACTTCGGGGAAGCGCCATATCGGGCCAAGGACGGCCTATGTGCAAAAGGTAGCGGACGATTTGGACGATTCGTTCAGATCTCAGATTGCGGCCACACGAGCAAGGGAGGAAAGAGTAGCGAGTTCGAGAGGTGGGATAGATCTACGAAGCCTTCGGAAGTAGAGAAGAGAAGGAAGTGGGAAGAGCTGTGCCGCTTAGAGTCAGCTCTGCTTAGGGGGGAGATGAGCCGGAAAATGGATGATTTCGGCAAAAATCAAAAGTTCTACAAATCAGACAGGGGTCAGCAATAGGCATCTGACCAGCAGTAGGCATCTTGTTGACGAAGGTCAAATTTCAATGGGGGTGAAGTGGGGGTGGGTGATGTGATTGGAGTTGGGTATGTAGGCGTTTATGGTAAAAGGGATGTGCTTATAGAACTTGTGCATGGTAGAACTTTTGTGAATTAGTTCTAGATGAAGCAGAATCGTGGTCGAGTTAGAATACGCGGGTTGGTCGCGAGATAGGTTTCCTTCATGGATGTCGTGAAGATTGAGTCGTGGGGCATGGGGGCTAGAAAAGCGGAGCGATTGACCTATGTGGATTTTGTGAGCTTATGCTCATTGGTACCCACCCGTGGAGTATATCTTAGCACGGTACCTGCCTTTCGTTTCTCTTCTCGTAACTGCGAAGGGTTTCACGCATCTACGTGTTTCCTTCAAAATGGCTAACCACAACGAGTGCACTCCTCTCTGGAGACCTCGGCGTCTCTTACGACTTTCCAACTCCATCGTGATCCACCTTCTCCGCAATTTGGAGCTGTGGAGTTCTCGCTGCATCCCTCTTGTGGACCGCCCTCTGAGCTCGGGGATCAATCGCCCATCCATTACAGCTGCGACAAGTAAACCGGAAGCCCCTCTAATCAGAACCAACTGCGCGCGCAAGTATGTGGGAGCTTAATAAGCAGATCATGAGGTACAATATGCCCGGTGGAGATAGAAGCTGGCATAGTCGCTCTACTCTATCGCATGGGTGCTCTACATGCACGTTCGAGGACGGCAGCGGCGACTTGATTTTCTGTTGTCAATGCGGGTCTGGGATTCAGCTTTTATACGTCAATCCGTCCTGTTACAATTGCGGCCACCACTTCCTGTGGGACGGTCCGATTATTCCAAACCACCGCAACTCGAAAGCTACATTGCGAACAGAAGAGACAGAAGCCCCCTCGTTGACCTTCAATGAACTTCTTTTTCGCCGAGCAGCAGACCCAGCGCAGCGATGGAGTAAGCCCATATCTACCGACAATGATGCAGCTTCTTGTGGCTCATCACCGCGCCATGACCCTTTGGAACTTTCAGCAGCTGAACGTCGGGCACTCCCAGCACCTGAAACCCCGCATGATACTCTTGAGCAGCTTCTGGGGCCGTTACCATCAAGTCCCGAGTTGGCTGCTCGGGTCTACATTCATGCGCGAGAGAGATGCCAGGAAACATCCCCTCAAGGCTTGCGACTCTTTGAGGAACACGTATTCAAAAGGCTCCATGAAACAGACTGGCCTGATCACCCGTTAGTTTGGGATATTGAATCTTCAGATCAATCTTCGGACGAAACCCCGACTGCTCGAAAAACCAGTTCAATTCCGCGCGTTCACCGGGACCCGACCCTTTCCGAAAGCTCACACGGATCGCATCACATCGCGAAGGCCGCAGCAGCAGACTCGGAAGGAGTTAATGAAAAGACCAGACTTTTGCCCAGAGCTGCATCCCGGGATAGCTCGGTGGAGGTATATAGCAGCTCGGAAACATCACCGTCTACCTGTAGCAGTCCTACAGCTACCCCAAACAGCAACACTGAATACGATGACTCCACCGAAACCGAGACAAGTCCGAGTACGGTGACACTATCTTATCCTAGGCCCTCAATCATCTCATACCTGGCCCGAAACATAGTCAATCGTGTCATGAATGGTATCCACTTCTTCTTCGACGTCAAGTCCGGCATCATTCAGTGTACTACTGGCTCAAACCACAATACCCCAACCGCTAAAAGCCAAAACGCTTCCGGCCATAGTAATCCTAACAATCGCCAGGCCGAGGATGGAAACAAGCGACGAGAAGGTGGACGTGATAGCCATGACCCACCGCAGGACCAGAGCGAAGACGACCATGACGATGATAGTAGTAATAAGCGACAGAAGCTGAACAACGGCAGACGCGCGCAGAAATCTACCAAGAGGTTTGCATGCCCATACTTTCAACGCGATCCAGAGAAGCACAAAGACCGTCGCTCCTGTGCTGGTCCGGGATGGTTCGACATCCATCACGTGAAGTACGCGCCACATCATAATCACGGATATATTTTCGAGCTACAGGTAATTGACATATTTTAGAGACCATCTTTACCACTATCACGAAGTGCGACCTTGTCCAAGATGTCGATTGGATTTGAAGACAGACAAGGCATTGAAGTTGCACCTGCAAGCACCCCAGATCTGCGAGAACCAAGCGCCGCGCCCATGCGACGGCATAGATGAAGTCAAAAAGGCAAAACTCCAAAACCGAAAAGGATGGAGCAGAAAGACCCCTATTAGAAAGTGGGAGGCTATCTACCAGATTCTCTTCCCTAATGACAACATTCTCGATATGCCTAGTCCATGTAAGTTACCTTTTAGCCTTCGACTATTCGGACGTAAGCTCATTCAGTGACCTGCTAGTTTATGAAAATGGTGACAGCTCATCGTCTACAGGAGATCCTGTCGCTCGTTTCGAGCGATATTGCCGGCGCGAGCTTCCGCGCAGTGTACGGACAAGGCTAGAAAAGGTTGTCGAGGAACATCTTCTCAGGGACGGAGACCTTATCACTAATCAGATCGAATCCATCATCAGAGAAAGTTGGGATGGAGTAGTATCCAGTTTTCAAGAAGTATCTGGAATAAGAGGTATTTCAATAGTACCCAACTCAACCCCTGCTAAAGGTTACGAAATGGACGTGGCCGACGAGGATGCCTCCACCATGCCAGCAAGCAACGGTACCATACAAGCCTCCCTAGATGGCAGCGCATTCCCAGTGATTACTCTAGAGGCCTTTGACGCTACTCGTTTCAGACCTTGCACACCACCGCTAAGCTTTAACAATAAAGTCGCCCAGGGAGGCTCTGACGAAGTCAGTTACTCCGCAAATCCAGCCTTCAATATCGACGAGTTCTTTGAAAATCTGAACGATCCATCAAGTACTAGCTGTGAACTCACCACCTTGCCATTTTCAACCTCATGGGACGACGACTACATGGGCTCCGGTGCGTCAACTTCCACGCCCCACCTCATTGAGCAAAATATGGAACAGAACATTTCCTCGCCTGGCACCACAATTGTTAAAGTCATTCCCGAGATCAGGCTACCAACAATACTTGAGAGAGAAGAAGCATATATGGATATCACAAATATGCTGCATCTCCCGAATGTTTGGTACTCTTCAGAATGATCTTCCTTCTTACCCTATTTTCTTTCTGTGCTGCGCACATGCCAAACTGAGTAGGGGGTGAAGTTCTCTAAGAAGAGAGCTTGCTGGCGGCCTGGGTTGCGGCGTGATGACCTTACATCACGTCCGACGGTTCGGAGCTCTTGTGATAGATCGGAGGACTTTAGGCGGTGCCACGGCCCGAAGGATTTTCCTAAGCGTACCTCATATTTCAGCCTTGGCCACAACCTGACAGACACATGTCGGCACCCAGACAAGGATGGAGAGACCGAATTACCGATTTCCAAGTCACGGGAGGATAGTAAAATAATAGTCCCTCAAGGATTTTCGACTCAAAGAATTTGCTGCCTGGTAATGCATGTTTTCCCTGGATCTAAGCCCACATGAATGAACACGCTTGTCGTAGCTCCATCGCTCCCTGGGTAAGAAGTTTTGACACAACGTGACTTGACTTTTGAGTGTTAACATTCCACCAATCGGCACGCGGCCGAGGCAGCAAGCAATCACTCGACTCCCAGATGTTAGAAAAGCGTAGGCCGCTACTCGCCGAAGGTCCCTATCACGCTCATCCTCCCTACATTATCGGATTCTGAACTCTTTAGGAGCATGTATTCGCAGACTTTTGCTGTCAAATCTGACGACTCTTCTAGCTCTGCCGCGTCTTCGCGTAGACACTTCGCTTTATACACTATACATTACAACTTTCCACTTGTATTATCATAGCACTGAGAGCTCATTCTTGCTCAGATCTTGACTACATCAACAATGATAGGGACGACCGTCCATGTTCCATTGCTGGGAGCACCTCCAAGACGTCTCTAAACTATCCGAGAAAGGCGGCTAAGTGCGTTGCTAACAGCCATAGGATCAGAACAAGCAACACGTCACATCAATGGGTCCGACTTGAAGCGTCTAGCTCTGGGAAACTGTACCAATTCAAGCGAAGGATGGAACGGGCAATGGCCGAACACCAACACTTCACTTCTCTGCCATTTATATCATTCAAAACTCACATCCGCTTTCACAGTAGTGCTAAGGCACCACACTATCCCGGATCAAACTTATATCAAACGCGATGATATGCCGTTTGATGTTCCGTCCTTGGGAGCATCGACTAGCAACCTACGATGCTAGGACATGAAAATCAAGATGCGAACTAGCTAATGACAGAGGACCGGCTAGTCTCGAAAGCGGCAAACTATCGAAAGCTACCTCCACGTAATTTCATGTTGGAGGATGTTGCCGACTCGTACGTATCTCAATGTGTCCGAGCGCCTGCTAGTGGTGCCGTGACAGTAAAAGCACTACTGTCGAAATTCTATGGCACCGGAAGTTCTTTCTGGCGTTGTTCAAAGACGATGTCTAATCAGTATGGAAAACATCATAATGATTGCGCTGGGAAAGAATTGCTAGATCCTCAAATATACACCGTATAAAAGTGGTGTTGAACAAAGAATGGGCGAGAAGCTATTGGCTTCAATGCCGAAAGGTGGATGGCTCAAACCGAGGTGCCATCAAAACTCGAGCCCCTACTTCCCCCGGTTCCGGATGACCAACTCCGTGAAACACCTTGATCAAAAAGAGAGGGGAAGAGAGCCATGCCTCATTTTTTCCGAGATTATGGAATTTCAGTTCCCCACGCAACTCGAAATCGCATGGCTGGTTGTCAGCCGCCTTATCGTCTCTTCCGAGAAATACCAAAACGTGTAGAGAAATTCCATAACGTGAAGTTCGGAGGAAGTCTCCCGGATTTCAAGCTTTCGAATACCCCAGCAGCCCCTACGATGTTGTAAGAGCTGGTCGACTGAGTGGTATACTATCATGAATCTATGATGCGGCAGAACACCTTGTGGAGTGGCAAGAAAGATTGTACAGATGTTTGTGAGGAAGCACCTTGAATAGACTTTATGCACTCCTCATCAGACCTTCGAGGTCCTAGAATATACTTCGGTGTTCTTCAAGCCGTGCTCAGGATGACGCAGAAAGTGACAGGCCATAAGTCTGCGCACAAGCGTTTACCACTGCTTGGGGTAACCCCCCATGGAATTTCAAAAACATAGGCGCGATTTCAAGCGTAAGGTATTGTAAAGTAGACTGCCTCTTGACTACTAATTGCTTGCTAGCTAGGCTGCTCTTCACAGTGATGTTGAATGAGCAAGACTAGAGTCAAGCAATGATAAATCCGCGTGTGACCTAGTACTGTAGGTGATTACGGCTACTAACACTCACGCCCTGAATCGGTTATTGGCGGAAGTTGTTTTAGTGGGTCTGAAACGCATTCACCCTCACGTGGAGATCATGCGTGCTTCAACTAGCGTCTTGCTTTTGCACAAACATTTTCTTCGCCGTCACAAACAAAGCACGCTTGGCTTTATTGGCCCGACTTCATACAAGACTATAGCCTCAGACCTTCTCCCTCCCTACATCATGGCAGAAGATTCAGACGTTGTCCCGAGAGATACAAACAAGCTGCCCATCCACCATGGTCATCTTCTCGGAGAGGACCTTCTCGAGGACGATCTGCCTGGACACGAGGCCCTGGACGACGGTCCCGCGGAGGACATCCAGGGGGTCAAGACTGTTACTGGATACGCTCCAGCACTCAAATCGAACCCGCTGCCCCGAGTAGAAGCGGAGAAACTCCTGGAGGTTGTCCTAGGACTCAAGTTCCCCTCCCTCGGGCCATCAAAAGGTGGGATCAAACGCTGGTCTTCCCCTGCTCGCGAAGACTTTGCAAAGGCGTATGCCCTAACCCCTCTTCCTCTACGCATCGCGACCCTTTCCTGTCTTACACAGCTCTAGTCACCCTGATATTGCACACAACGCCGTCTTCGTCTCGATCGACTTTGAGAGCCTCTCTTGGATGGATGACACGGAACACCCTGAGTACGGAAAGATCACGGAATTAGGCCTGGCCTTTCTCGACACTCGGGCACTCAAAGGTGTGACTAGCCAAACAAATTGGGTGGAAGAAATCCGCGCAAAGCATTACATCGTCGACGAGTACGCCCATCTCCGGCCGATGGTGGTGGATAAGCGCAAGCACTCTCTCGCCAACGCGGATAAATTCGATTACGGGGCTAGCGAAATCGTGCCGTTCGATGCTCTCGGTAATATCTTGAAGAACGCGTTGCGTATCCCGGACGACGCTGCGTCGGCTGCTGGGAAGGAGAGCATGGAGGTTAAGTACCGCCCAATCATCCTCGTGGCCCACGCGTATCAGAACGAGGACAACTACCAACGCAGCGAACTAGGCTTGTCCGATGCCGACCTCGACGTCCTCTACGCCATCATCGACACCCAGGTCATGATGTGCGGAAGAGGGCAGAAAGCGCCAGGCCTTAGACAATTACTGGAGACCAGGTTCGGCATCCACCCCGTAAACATGCATAACGCCGGCAACGATGCTGTCTATACCCTCGTCTTGGTCCTGGCGCGCGTGGCGAAGAAGGGATACGGAGTGGACGAGAAGAGCGACGTTGCGGACAAGTGGCTAGATGCCCTGAAGATAAAGATTGCAGAAGAAGCTGGGGGGAGATGTGAGAACTGTGGTGGGCTTGGACACTTGGACGAAGCGTGTGAGGAGCCAAAGGGGGCGGGGCTGCATGACGTCGCGAAGGCTCTTGCGAGGTTAAGGCTAGATAGGGACGACGCTGTGCAGGAGTTCGAACGGACGGCATGTGCTCCTCCTCGCGACGCTGAGCCCACCTTCGGTGATGAGCCTGCTGAGCCTACTGTCCCAGATGCTGGTCCAGTAGATGATGCAGAGCGCTGAGCTCACACCGACCAGGTTCATTTCCTCTCTTCATCAAGAAAAAGGCCCTTTCGATAGACCCAGGGATTAGAATGTACACACTTCTTATGTACGCCTTTTTGGCGACCGGGTGATTATGAGCGTGAAGATCATGAGTAGAGTCCTGTATTTCTGTATATTTGTTGCCGCTGTTAGAGGTGCCCCGGTCCAGTGTCAAGAATCTTGACCCTTTCGAATTCTCAAGAAGTGATTCGCAGACTGGTGATATAGTGCCTTGCAAAAAGCCCGAGCAAACTTATCCACCACCGTTTGAGGTGCTTCGGCGCATTCTGAAAGTTAAGATAAGATGTACAGTCCCGGAGAGCTGAATTAGAACACTTTCACAAGCTGACCGTCGGCCTGCCTGCCGCTGTTTGTGGTGCTTCAGCACTCCATCATAAAATGGGGTAAGATGGAAAAGGCGGCATGCCCAAACGTATGCCCTAGTACTGTGTTGTCGTATACGGGCATGGATTATACTTGGCAAACCTTGGCTATAGCTGAGCCTTGTACGTGATGGCATCAGCGCAGCTTCTCACTGATGTCAATAGATTTTTGGAATTAATCATTTTCGGCTTCGTCGCCAGCGCTGTCAGGATTCAGCCTCTGACTATCTATCTCAGCGCTGATTAAAGAGTTGGAAGTGGTGGTGGCGGAGGCGGGCTGAGTGCCTTGGCATCACTTGGCATCTGCTCGTCAGCTCTCTAATTCATACATGCTGACGGCTGTTGTTTGCGAACTTTATGACCCGCAACACTAGAATCAAGCTCACTCCAGGTAGTTCTGGGCTGTGGCGTTTTGCTTCCGTCTTCGGTGAAGTTAGCTTGGCGTCTGACTACCTATGTGCATTTCTCATCCATTTCTCAGCCTAGTACCGGGGGCCTTGCGCTTCAACGAAGCTTAATCTCAAAGGTGATGACTCCAATATTAGAGCGGCATGGTTGTTATCGAAGAATAGCAGAGGTATAAAGAGCGTGCTTCGTCGTCTCCAAGAGCATCGTCATCACAAGAGTTCAGTACAACAGTTCAGTACAACTTCAAGACTACCTTTCCTAGTATTTCCTCGTCTTCATTTCCTTGCATTTGTTTCTATTTTTCTCCTATTAAACTTCGACCACTCGCTACCTTCAAACCTATTAATCGACCAATCAACTCTCAAAATGAAGTCTTTCGCCACTATCGCCCTCACCCTCCTCGCCGCCGCCACCACCATCTCCGCTCGCCCAAACATCATGGAGCGCCGCCAGCCCGCCGTCCAGAAGGTCAGCGTCCAGCTCACCAACGATCGCACCGGCAGCAACGCCGTTTTCAACGCAGCCCTCAACAATGGCGCCGTCCCGATTGTCGATCTCTTCCTCGGCAGCGCTGTCGACTTCGGCGGCGTGGTACTCGCCTCCAGCGCCCAGTTCGTCGGCACTATTCTACCCGGAGCGGCTTGTGTTATCAAAGGCAATGATGGGAGGGTATTTGGGGATATCAATGACCGCAAGACATTTACCGATTTGGATGGGGATGCGGGCAATGCGGTGCCGCAGAACTTGAACGATGCCACTTTGGAGTGCCAGCTTTGAATATAATGATTGTAGCGCTGTATAGAGAAAGTAGTGGGATGTTGAGACGTATTTTGCATTGAGTTTGGGCCACGGTTTCATAGCGGGTTTTGATTTTATGGTTTTGGGGATTCATTATATTTGGACTGGATCATTGTTAGGGCGGAAATTCACTTCACGTCGCTCGTTTGAATTACTTAGAGCTGATGTATATCATTTGGCGAGGCCTCTTCAGACCTTTAGAACATTGTGACTGCCAACAAAGACATCCATTGATCGTAAGCACTGCGCAGTGCAGGGGCTCCCCAAAGTCAAAGAACGTAAAGAAATCAAGCGTCTGACCTAGAGCTTCCAGGAGATGATATATCAACTGCATCGAGCCCCCTTGTCAACGATCCCCATCAACTGCTCCCAAGAAGTTGTTCGATCTCGGCATGGTTATCATTCCAGAAGTCGTAGAAGCTGTCTACCATTGGAACCTCCTTAGACTTGAAGGCGCCGTGAACAGCTTCGAACTTTGCCCAAGCCTCCTTCAGAGCATTCCTATCACTTAAGAACCTGGTTGGTCCACGTCTTTGTCGTGTCATGGGCGTCTTCTTTATCCTATTGAAGGCTGTTTCGACGCCTCGAAGTGCGCATGTTGCAATAGAATGCGGCGGTGTGAGACGAATCATGGCTATCTCCTTGACGAGATCTGCCGAAGCTCGATCCATGAAACACTGACCATTTATTTGTTCCCCCGGGTCCGCACCATTTTCAATGAACAGATTGACGAGCTTCGCAAGCTCAGCCAAACTTTCTTCTTCAAAGTTAGGCTATCGTAAGCAATTCAACGCGTCAGCGTCGAGAGCAGCGCCGTTCTTTATTAATAGGCCAACGAGCGTGATATATTGGGCCACGCTCTCCTGTTCGACGGTATGCTGCCTCGCCCACGGCCATGTCAATGCATCGGAACTAACCAATGCGCCATGCCCAATCAATACAGATGCTGTCTCAAGCTCCTCTTCACCTAGTGCTACTTCGAGTGGGGATTGCTCAAACGGCTCTTCGTCTTCGTTCAGCCAACGAAGATTTACATCTGCACCATGCTTAAAAAGTTTTTGGGTCAAATCGAGATATTCGTCGCCTTTCTGGTAAATAGTTTCGTGGAGAATGGGCCATTGATTGTCAGCCCCATAATTCAGGATGCCTGGTGTCGCTTTCTTAACGTGATGTACCACAAGACACCGTAAAAGCCGGAGCTTGCGGCACTTAATGGCCCATGAAAGTTCGCCAATAGCACGCTCTCGAAAGTCATTTTCCAGCAGCAAGTGGTATCGTTTATTGACTTTCGAAAGGCTACTTAGCGAGATGTTGTCAAGCTCGCTCGCGATAATGAGGACCAGCTCGTTGGGAAGGTCGGAGAAAGGCATGCTTGTATTTGACAGGCACCGGCGGAGAAGAGCTGCCCTTTCTAGTGCTTCATTTTGAACAAGATCCTCCTAGAAATGTTTCCAAACCTACGTGTAGGGAGCTTGTGACTCTTTCCCGGGCGTGCGGTAGGCGTAAATAGTTTGTCATCAAGCTACTATGCGAAGGTTTTAGCAGATTGTATGTTTCGAGACAGAAACCACGACTCTCATTCTAACTGTGCCTAGACTCTTTCAGCAGACGTTTGGTAGGATCACGCACTATCTCGTGCATTCAGGCAAGTCTTGGCATGAGCAAAAGGTGTGGAAGATTAGCGTAAATGCACACCAGCAACCTCGCTTAGAGTGAAGAAATCACGTGCCATTAGCGAGGTCGTCGCCTTTACACGTTTCGACCGTCTTGTACAAGACTACCAACGCTCGTTTGCGCATGTAACTGATTAATGTTATGAGAGAATCTAGTCTGAGGCGCCCTAGCAAGTTTACTAGCTGTTCAGCCAATTCACAATGATGAGAATCGAATCTTCAAAGCCTTGCAGGGCACCTTAAGTATTATCAAACAAACGTAAGCAGTAGCAGGGAGTGGATTGTATCCTCATTCTCCCCCTAGGTCTATCCGCATGCCAAGACCACACACTTGAGATCATTGTAAGCCGCAGCAACGGCTTTCCTGGACTTCGGTCTCGATCTCATCACTTTACTCTCCTCCTTAGCGGGTGTGGATCATCCCACCCTAAGAAACGTTTCGATATCAACATGATTTTGGTTCTAGAAACCAGAGAAATCGTTATGCGTTGGAAAAAAATTTAGCTTCATACGCATGGTGGATCGCTTTGAACATAATCCATGGCGTCACCAATGCTGCTTCCTCCGTGATGAAGACTCCGGACCTGTTTGCTCTTGGCTTCTTGTTCTTACCGTCCCAGGCTTTCTGGGCGTACCTCAAGACATATTTGGTGATCACATGTGGCGGACGCGCCAGCGCAATATCCTTAAAGAAGTCTACGGTAGAGTGCTGCAAAAAGTGACGGCCATGCCCATCCACATGTTCGATCAGAAGGGTGATGAGGTCAGCGTTCTCTTCATTGCTTCGGGACCATGCTCCCGGTAATACAACATGTAGAACATTTACTGTCTCTCTAATCCCAAGGGAAATATAGTCATGCGACTTTTCCATGGAACCGTTTAGATCGGCTTCGAGCTGCAAGAGTTTGCGAACGAGCTACATCTAGTCCACGAATCCGTTGCGCAAAGGAGGTAGATAAATCGGCATTTTCTTCCGCGAGACTATTTACCCACTAACGGCTTCGATAAGGGTGCTCGTGCGGCGTTTGTAGTATGCATCCGATGCGCTAACGGTAGTGCCGTACTCGATAGAAGAACCAGCTTCTATCAGCGCCAACGCGATCTTGAAATGGCCTCCGCCCATGGCTAGTGCGAGTGGCGGACATGTAAAGGTATGCCTACTCCTCGAATTGGCAAGGCTAGATAGATTCGCTCCCACGCTTAGTAGCTGCCGTATGAGCGTGATGTCTTCGCCGCCTTTCTCATAAATGACACTGAAGAATCGCCGGCTTGCGGTGGTTGAGGAGCAATAGAGTTACGCCGTTTGAAGAGATAGCTATCCAGTAGATCGTGATATCGCCGGCTAACTCCTTACAGCCTACTTAGGGAACTGTCGTCGAGATGTTGACCGGTTATGAGCAAGAGCTCATTAGGTAGTGCCGAGAATAGCATAACGCTAGTCGCAGACATATAGTGGGTTGCCACAAATCTTCGCACGCTCTTTTGCCACTCCTTATAGGATTTCTTAAAAGATCTGTAACCGCTCATTTGTCAGGATACCGCGTTTATGGATTACTCAAAATGATGAAACTACGTCTCGCTCAAATTTCTGAAATTACGAAGAAGCCTCACACGCACGGCAAAGAATCTGTATGCAGCTTATTCGGATATTGTGTAGCAAACGGACGGGTGATGTCATAGAGAACGATCAGTTTGCGGCAACCGCATGCTGGATCAACTAGCCGTAAGTATATATATAATTATACTCATCTACCACTGCTTGAGGTCCTTAGCCGTATTCTGACAAGATTGAAAGACCCTATATGCGTACACAGTTTTGCCAACGCTTGGTGTCCTTGAACGTACGTTGATGTCTCCCGCCTCAAGACGTCTATCAAACAAAGTACTTTTTATCCTCGACCCTAATCACGACGGACTCATCACCCTTCTCATCCATTTACAACCCCTTCACAATGTCCGGCAGCAGCTTCTCCGTAAACTGCCACAACTTACTCGAATCCTGAGCGTGCCACGCGGCCCCCGTCCAGAACGTCTTCTTCCCCCCTTGCAGCGCATACAGCTTCTTATAGAAGCCACTCTTGATTGCCTCAACCGATACCGTGGATTCGAAAGGGGAGTGGCTATGGAATATCACAAACTCCGGCGTCGTCGTATTCAGCGTACCCGCGGTCTTGAGCCTCTGGACCGCCGCAATGATCGCAGATTTCGCGTTGTCATCACCAATTGGGGCCGGCGTGCAGTACTTCACGGTGAAGAGGCCTTTCGTGTCGGTAGATTGCACAAAGTATGGACCAGGAAGGAAAGGGACGTTGTACGGGGTGTCAGCACCAAAGTTGCGGACTTCGATGCCGTCGGGGATACCGGTGTTCTTGATGATGGCGGAGTAGTATCCAGCATTGAGGAACTCACTGAAGATGACCCTCTCGTTCAGATCGAGGTCCCAGCCTAGCAAGTTTTCGAGCTTGGGCGGGATACTCGAGAGGAGCTTCTTGGCGATGATAAGTTTCTTTCCCGTAGGAGTCAGGACCTGGACTTTAACACCGAGGGGAGAAGAGCGGTCGACGGAGAGGATGGTGGTGCTAAGGAGGGCTTTCTTGCCTAAGATCTTTTCGGCGGCTTCGTAGGGTGCTCGGTTGTTGTGCGAAACGGTGGCTTGGTAGCTGTTCTCTTGCAGTGCCTGGATGCTGGCCAAGCTGACGAGTTTGAAGACGTAGAGGGTTGATTGATCTAGGAAGTTCCCCATTCCATTTCCAAAAATATTAAGGATCTGGACAGCGCCTTCGATGTTGTATTTCTTAACGAAGTCACCAAAGGGGATGAGGAAGTCCTCCGGGATAGTATCCGGCAGGTCAAATGAGTCTTCGAGGTACGGGTACTTCGAAATCTGCTCTACGTAGTTGATCAATCCCTGCGTGACATTCCCCGAGTAGACGCTTGTCAGCGTCTTGCCAGTACGGAAGTCTACCGGAATGGTGGTGAGCGTCGTGGTGCCCGCGCGCGCGATATCGGTCTGTTGCAGCTTCACTCCGAGTCGTTTGAAGAAGTTCTGGACCACTGGGATGTCATACCAGGCGACGACGCCCATTTCGGTGTTGTTTCCGGACGCGGGATCCGTGTAGGTGTATGTGTGTCCTCCGAGATAGTCGTGATGGTCCACAACGATAACGCTCTTCCCCAAGTCGGTCAATCGAATCGCACCATAAGTTCCACTTCCTCCTCCACCGAGAACGACAACGTCCGTCGTGATAATGTCCGCGGGGCCGTATCCATCTATGCTAGTACCGCGCTCGGTCATTGCGGCTGTTGTTGTAGATAGTGCGCTGAGTGCAGCAGATAAAAGCGAGAAAGGTCTCATTTCAAAGCGAACGGATTGGAAGCGGATGTGCGATAGGAGCAGGGCAGACCAATGAGTTGAGATACCTCTTATACATCATGACAAGCCACTCTTATATACGTGCGTGAATTTTCTCATCACAAGCTCTCCTGATGTGTACTTCAAGCATATGGATTGCGTAAACAAAGGGGTGGCCAATAGCAACCCCTGCTTCGGCCGGAACGACACCAGCGGAACGACACCAGCCGAAGAAACATGCATAACTTCAATCCATATGGACCCCATGTATCTCCGGCCAGACTTTCAAGGTGTCCGGAAGAATGGAAACGCCCTGGGGAAATGCAAAAATGCACGTCCCCCGCATGATCTGCACTGCAGGTCTTACCACGTGGGGTAGAGGTGCATGATGACGAGATTTCATAGCCGTCGGGATTTTTATTCTTTTCGCAGACTTCTACGGCAGTCAGCTCTTCCATTCGGCTCATGAAGTTCCTGAAAGCCCGTAGAATCTCGGACCGGATGAGTTCATACCAACGGTCCGCAGGCGGCGGCATTTATCCTCACCCATATTTCACGGGGAAGGATGTCGAGCTCAATAAGTACGAGTTCTAGATTATACACACATTCACCACTGTTTAAATTTTAGTTCCTCATTCTTTATTTCAACTCTTCTCGAGAATGATATCGGAGCTTCAACTACTGACATACAATTTAGTTTCGGTCTTTGAGAGCCAACTGTCTAGACTTGGAACTAAACCACCCAGCACCTCTGCATATGTCTATGTGTGCTACTATTAACTGAGTGCATCCAATGTGACCATAAAATCTAGACCAATGTTTGCCCTGACTGTGACTGAGGCGCGCTGGCCTCGCTTGTCCACGAAATATTGGGGTTTCTTCCAGTTCGCATTCTTTGAAATTGTGCTCAAGTACCCATGCCAGTGGCTGAAAAGTATGCGGGACCCATGGTAACGCTGACGAGGCATTGCACATACCAAGCGAGTACCCAATATGTTCTCTTTCTTTCCACAGAGTGGGCATCAATCCGACCCGAGTCTCTCTGCTGTCGGATAAGTTCCAGTTTGGTTCAAGAGGATCACCGAATACTAACTTAAGACGGTTCAGCTCGTTTATAGATCGTAGACGAGCACACTAGCACTCGTTTTCTAATCATATATGCGCTGCGTTGATGCTCTACCGCCTTCATAGTATCTTCTTGAAGTTGAAAGGGGCCATGCGCGTCTTGTAAACGGTCTAAATAGGCTTCTGTTCTTGGGCTGGGTCGTTGATGTTTACTAGGTACGGGCTAATTGCCAAGTCTTCGGGTCCACGCCCATCTTATACATCGTCGGAACAGGCGTCGCTTCTCCCCTGGGTTGTTTAGGTATGCCAGGTACGGATGAATTACCGATCATCGGGTCCACGCCTGTGTGCGACCCCACTGAATAGGCATTTGTTCTCGGACTGGGGTAAGTCTACCAGGTACGGGTCAATTACCGAATCGTCGGGTCCATGCTAGTGCTGTACGTCGTCTAAATAACCCTCCGTTCTTGGATTGGCTCGTTTAAGTCGACCAGGTACGGCCTAATTGCCGAATCGTGGGGTTAATGCCCGTGTTGTACCTAAACGATCTGAACAGGCCTCGGTTCTTGGTTTAAGTTCTTCATATCTACTAGGTACGGATGAATTACCGGATCGTTCCGTCGGACTAACCTTGAACACATCATTGCTTCTCCCCGCATTTACCACGGATATGATATAGGCCTTTGGAGGAACTGAAATGCTCGTAACGACCGGTCGCTCCTCAGTCGCTGTCGTATTCGCGTTCAGAACGATTGGAGCTATGACGGATGATACAGGTATGTCGCTAAAGCATGGGGCATGGTATTCGCCTTCGTAGCCGACATGGTTGCATTGCAATCATCTGACTGTGCGCTAGCTCTTAGACCAACGCATCTCCAAAAAAGACGCAATTGACCGGTTACGTCGGAGGCCCACTATGGAGTGTGAAAACACGAGCTGATCACGAACCTAGGACCAGCGTCGTCGCCTTCCATATTGCGAGTAGCCCAACCACCAGCCCCCACAACTCATGCAAGCAGCCGTTCACAAAGCTCTCTCAATTTCCTGGGGTACCTCCGTAAGCAAGATCATCCGGAGGTGATGCCAAGCCTCCAAGATATTGAGACGCGGAACCACCATCCCAGGGGCTGTCTCAGCGCAGTACGCTCGTGACTTTCACCGTACCCTTTTTTGCCCAGCTTGGCCCTGACTGCACCTTTACACGTAATAGTGACAGGGGTCCTTGAAGAAATCATGACAGTCCACGAAATCGTGATGCCATTCTATAACTTCCGACCCTTTCAATACACATCTTAGTACTCTAGGGTTATGTACACTAACCTAGCGCTGCTTGAGGCCTCTAGAACGTTGTTAACAACTAGAAATGGCCAGTCTGACAAGCCTGATGGTCTTCGGGCCACTTCCAACGGAATTATAATAGTATGCCGCTATGTGCACGCCGAGAATGTACTGCCCGGAGACTATCCGACCATCCCACTGCGATAACCTTTACTAACTATTGGACGATACTGGACCTCCGTTCATGCAGTTGAAACTTTTAGGAATTAAAGGTTTTGGAGTTGCAATCGTACCACCTGGCGCAAGTTATGAGAAAAACGATGTACTAAAGTGAGGTAACAGCGAAAGAACTCAAAGCATCAACCACTTTGTTCGAAGCGCTAGGCCAAACGCCAACATCTTTCGAAATCTCTATCAAAGCCATGCCAGGTGAAGAATGCAATGACCGTAGCTGCTGGCACCTGTCGACCTTCTTCTCACCCACATCTTCATCCTCCTCTTTTGCATCGACTACGGTCCAAAAGCCTGCCCACCTGGCTCTCCTGCTATTCTCGCTCCTGGAAATTTCCACCATGGGCTCACGCGCGATGACCACAGGCAATTTCAAGCCTCGGCTTGCGAATAGGGCCTCAACAGCTCCCTCATCTTCGATATCCGCGATATAAGCGTGCACTCCATGGCCACCGCCGCGAAAGACCTCCTCGACAAATGCAGCGCCATCTACAGCGACCGCAAGGATGTGCATATGGCGACAGCAATGTGCAGCGACAAAATAAGTTGACGATGCCGTAAAGCCGAACTTAGCGATGATGCAGCAGCACTCCATCTTATTAGGAAGAGGATGTGCGGCAGCCCTTCGAGGAGTTCGAGAAGCTCTCCGTAGTAGACAGACGGATGCTGCGGCTCTGCTGTATGCATTTCCTGTGCTGCTGTGGTGGTTATCAAATTGGGTGTTGACGATACGAGAGAAAGCGACGGAGTTTCATAGAACGGAGAGACCGCTCTGCTCAAAGCACTGGCTTAAGTGTGAAGATAATGTCAAGAACAAAACGGTGAGGCCATGCTTCGGTATTCATCTCGCGCGTCTCCCAAAAATAGACTGATTCTCCGACAATTTGGCGACTCTACAGCATGATCTGTCCTCGAAGCTGGACTCGACACCACGTTCTGTACCTTACATCGCTTCGTCCATGCCGTGGTCAGGGCTAGGAATCAGACTATTAGTTAAGTTTTAACCAGCCCAGTAAGACGCAAGGAGTCAGCGTGAGGAGTAAGCCGACCGTAACTAGTTAAACCGACGTGAGCGATCCGTTGCAATCGACCATTTTAGTGGACCTGGACAATCCAATCAAGGACAAGACCAGGGTCCAACCTGGATTAATCGGGTTGTAATCTAGTGAATTAACCCCGCATACACGTTTTAGGACGCGTTCTGTGGCTTTTCACGCGTTGTTTTGACCCCCCTACGGCCCCCACGGGTACCCCTTTTCTACACACAGGGTGAATAGAGGTCCGTGCTTAGTCCGTAAACGGTTTAAGCCGGTCACGATCCCTCTCTAATAAACAGTGCTAAGTGATCGATTAGGAATGGATTGCAAACTATACCCCTCTAACTCGCTCCATCGGCTTACTCCTCACACTGCAAGGAGTCGAATACTGCCATGGGAAGTGTCTGTTCGGTGGTGGATTCTAATCGTTATATTCCGTCGTTGTGTCGTGTTTTTCCTTGCCCTGAGTGTGAGCCGCAATCTACAGCGACGGGGAATAATTATGGAGAACCTTTGGTGGGTCTTCCCGGGGTTTTATTGACTAGTAGCCAAAACACGCCCACACGGATAAGACCTTTCCCGGAACTTCCACTTCGTTCTTGAAGTTCTCTACCCCAGCAGAATCTGCAATTATTTCTTCAAATAATGGAACGGCCCATATGGAAGTTAAAGCAAGTAGTATTCCTGCCCCAACCACTGTCCAGTCGATCAAGGCGGACGACAATGATGCAGGAGGCGGGGACGACATCCTGCCAGAGCGAGCCGAGAACAAAGCCACATTCGGGCCTGATAAAGTTGAAGATGACAAGGAAATAGATCAGGGAGAAGAAAGACCTGGTATACCATTGTCCAAAATCAGATCGGTTGCCTTAGTGGCTATTGTGGCGGGCGCTGCCTTTCTTAATGTAAGCTCATCTGAATAGTCTAGTTTCATATTGTTAATCTTGAGAACTTTGCCTTCCAGTCCTTCGGCGTTCAGTCAATCGTAATTGCGCTTCCCACCGTGGGTACCGACCTGGGCATCCCGACGAGTAGACAGCAATGGATCGTTTCCGCATACTCCCTCACCTTCGGCTGCTTCCTTCTTCTCTGGGGCCGCTTAGCGGACGTTTACGGGAAAAAGCTCGTCTTCGCCTTAGGGTCGACTTGGTTCTGTATAATATCCCTAACCATACCATTCGCCCCGCAAGAAATACCTTTAGACCTGCTGCGAGGTTTTCAGGGACTGGGAGCAGCAGCCACGGTGCCAACTGCAATTGGAATCCTCGGGACCACATTCACAAAACCGGGAAAGACTAGGAACTACGCTTTCTCCTGCTTCGGGGCTGGAGCGCCGTTAGGGTCTGTGTTCGGTAATATACTGGGCGGGTTCATTGCTGAGTATCTGACCTGGAAATGGATTTTCTGGATCCATTCTATCATCGCTGCGATCATTACTGGCTCAGCTATTTTCGTAATACCACGATCGCCCCTAATAGAAGCAACGGGTATCAAAGGCGCTGTGGACTGGATAGGCGGCACACTCATCACCTGTGGCTTACTCGCACTACTCTTTGCGTTGGCCGAGGGCAATGTCGTAGGCTGGACTACGCCCTGGATTCCCGTCCTTATAACAGTATTAATCCTTCTCGTAGCCCTCTTCACGCTTTGGCAGTGGTATCTCGAGAGCAGATGTCGTCGACCGCTCATGAAGATTTCCATCTTCAAGAACACGAGATTCTCGGCCGCCATGATAATCATGACGCTCTTGCAAGCATCGTTCAACAACTTCCTGGTCTTCTCAACTTACCTGTACGCCTGCCGTTAGCTTCACACACTCCAGAAAAGCAGACCTAACACTTCGCACCCCAGATACCAAGACTACCTCGGCCTCAGCACCATCCAAACAACCCTCCGCTTCATTCCCACGGGCGTCGTAGGAAGTAAGCCACCCCATCCTACCCCATCTTACGCACGTTCTCAAATCTCAATCCACCTACTGACCACAATCGCCACAGTCATCACGGCCCTCGCCACAGGCTTCCTCCTCAGCGTAATCCGCGGCTCCCATCTCCTGGCCTTCAGCTGCCTCTGCATCTCGACCTCGGCCCTCCTCTTCGCCTTGCCCATCTCCCCCCACATCACCTACTTCGCCTACGGCTTCCCCGCTATGTGCCTCGCCGTCCTCGGCATTGATATCCTTTACGTGAGCCTCACACTCTTCACAGCGCAATCGCTACCGCAAGAGGACCAAGCGCTCGGTGGGGCGCTAATCAATGCGGTGGCGCAGGTTGGGAGGGCATTGGGATTGGCATTGGGCACGGCGGTGCAGACGGCGGTGGAGGCGAGAAGGAAGGGGGTGAGTGTGCAGAAGGTAGGGATGGAAGAGGTAGGAGTAGGGGATGAGGCGTTGCTGGCGGGGCTGAGGGCGGCGGAGTGGTTGGATTTGGGGATGGGGGTTGCGGCCTTGGTGGTTGTGTTGATTGCGTTTCGAGGGGCGGGGAAAGTAGGACAGTAACGATGGACGGATGAGGTTGCCTTTCAAGAACAAATGCGTTGAGAAACCGCTCGACGTGGAGCATTGGCTAAGCTGAAAAGAGATATGAGATGCGATAGCGTGGGCTCGCTCTGTGGAACATGAAGTGGTGGTCCAACACTATTTAAAGTAGCCTAGAGAGCTATTCTATGAGGCTTGGCAGAGCTACGGCTTAATAAAATTTAGTGAGAGCACCAAATTACCTCGACTTGAATATTGCTAGGCAAGCGCATACAGGTTTGAAGAGTTTGAAGGTCTAGATTGGACTTTGCAAGTATTTGTCGACGGCGGCTCTGTTTCTAAGGAGCCTCGTGTACACCTGCTCCCGAATATTCACTCGCCAACTCGCGCTTGACCCGAATGGGACAATCCCGCGAGCGGCCGCGCCCCCAACGCTAAACTGACTTCCAACCATGGTTCGCCCTCCACTTTCTCCGCATGCACGCAATAGGGTTTCCACCGTCAGGTACCTCATCATTTCCTCATCATGCTGATCGTTTGCGGATCGAGCCAATTGTGCGAACTCCCGCCACAAGATCCCGCAGTCTTGCATACGCCGAGCCTCTCACGTTGACCATGCATTGGTTGGTACTACTTGGGGCTGAAAGCTGACGGGCTTTTCCACAATATCATCACTCTTCAATTTCCACAACCAAAGAAGCGTTCAAAATGCTATTCTGCAGCCCTGTTTCGTAGAGTTTACCTCGAACGGGAAAGTTGTGCGAAGCTTGCATTTACTTTAATACTGTTAAGCACATATATAAGTAAGATCCAATCGCCAAATTCTCCAAACCCATCCATCAAACCCACTAAACGTCTCATCTCTATCTTCAAAATGATCTCGCAAGTCCCTTTCTCTTCTCTCCTCCTCGCCCTCAGCGGCACCACTACCGCCCTCCCCGGGGCATACTGCCCTCCCAAACCCCAACCCGTCGTCCACATACCTTCTGGTACCGCCATCTACCGCACAATCAACAGCACCTTCCCAAACATTGAACTATACCGCGGGATCCCCTTCGCACTCCCGCCCATCGGCGACCTCCGCTTCGCACCGCCCCAAAAAGCCTACCACCACGACTACATCAACGCAACCGCGGAGTCACCCTCCTGCCCCCAGTACGTCCAGATGCCGAACTACTTCTCCATCCATCTGCCTGAATACAACACCATTGAAGACTTCAGCGAGGACTGCCTGAGTCTGAGCGTGTAAAATCGGCCGGATTGAAGCATGGAGAGAAGTTGCCGGTACTGCTTTTCATCTTTGGCGGAGGGTTCAGCGTTGAGGGGATCAAGGTGCCAGCTACAAATCCGGCGCCGCTGATCGAGAGGTTGAAGAATCTGGCTGTGGTGAAGTTTAACTATGTGAGCCATCGCCTTCCCTTCCCCCCATATTTTACGTCGCTACCCAGGAAATTCTCATCTGTCCGGTCATTTTCAACTTTTACGAAGTTTCCTGCTAACCACCCACTCCCCACTCAGCGCATGGACATCTTCGACTTCCCCAACACTCCCGCCCTCGCGCGTCAGAACCTCGGCCTCTTCGACCAATGCCTAGCCGTCGAATGGGTCCGCGACAACATCACCTCCTTCGGCGGGGACGCCGAGCGCATCACGCTCTTAGGTCATTCCGCTGGGTCCGAGAGCGCAGACTACATGCCTTTCGCATACCCCGAGGATCCAATCGCCAAAGGTCTCATCCTGAGCTCCGGCACTGCACTCACTCCGTCCGGATCAGTCGACTACAGCGGCTCCAACTTCACCCATGTCGCTAGTCAGTGCGGATGTACAGACACTAGACCCGCGGAGCTGCTCAGCTGTATGCGGAAAGTGCCGTGGCAAACGATTGAGAGAAAAACCTGGCAACGGATGGAACGACGAGAGACACGCGATTGAAGTTTCAGCTGTTGCCGGACAACATTACTTATTTTTCCAAATACACTGTGCGTGGATTGGCTGGAAAGTTCGCGAATCTCGTAAGTCCTGTGTGAAGTAGAGTAGGGCCTGACCATAAGAGCTAATACCTCTTAGCCCGCCATCGTCGGCACCAACCGAAACGAAGGCGAATCCCTCACAGACTACTCCACCACCGCCGCCGCCCACAACCAGACAGAAGCCGAACTGACCACCCTCGGCGGCATCGTGTGTCCATCTCACGACATGGCCAAGTACGTCCTTTCTCGGCATTTGCCCACAGCGCCCACGGCGAGCCGCCTGCTAATCCACTCTCAGAATCCGCCCACACGTCGGCTACGACACCTTCCGCTTCGAATACGCCGGTAACTTCACCAACATGTCCCCCTGCCGTGGATGGGTGCATATCATCAAGGTAAGCCGTTTCCCCAAATCGCAGCGTCCCCATCCATTCCTCCAACCACGCTCGGCTGATCCCACCATCCCAGCCAGCTTGGCAATTTACTTCAATACCTACGGCGCATTCCCCGGGGCCTCGACGCCACTCGAAATCGCCATCGCCAATCGCATGCAGGATCTCTTACTCGCTTTCATCAGCGACCCGACGAATGCTGGCACAAACCTCCCGAAGCTCGGGTGGCCGCTCAACAACTCGGTTGCTGAAAAGGTCTTGCTGTTTGGTACGGGTGGGCTGGTAACGCAGGTGGAGAAGGGGGCGAAGTACCAGAGTATTTGCAGCAAGATGGATTATCAGACTGGGACGGAGGACGCGAACACGGGCGTGGCGTAGATTGAATCCGGTTGAGGGTAGTGCTGGGGCGGTTGCGGGATATGGTGAGGATTTTGCGCGGGTGGAGATGGAAGCGATTGGCTGAGATGGAGACTTCTGTACGTGTTATGTAGAGAGATGTAAGACTAGTATCGGTAGTGGTAGCGTAATAGCATTCCGATCATCCCATTCGTAGGGGCTTGGTTTGTGGTCGATTTATTTCATATTCCGTGTATTGCCGGCAGTCGACCCGCCTAGAAATCTCTCATGTCGTTGTAGTCAAAAACACGAGGAGAGCCTTTTTCCGTAGTCGAAGATGTTTTGAGTATCTCAAGACTGCCGCGGAAATTTACGTTCAAGGGAGCGATTGACCAAGAGCTCGTGCTAGTGTGTATCAATTTGGAGATATTGTTCCGTGAACTTTGAGGAGACGGAACCGTGTATACAAGACTTAGGCCGTGAAGGCTTGGGACCGGCCCAAGAGGTTCATGAGCGCTAGGCTACTTATCTTTGCCATTCACATGCCCCCGACAGGTTTCCGTGATACCCTTGTACGTATACGGGCTTTTGTTTGACTCAGGATCGATTCGGACCACATGTTTCTCATTTCCTCGGTTGCGAACCGGAGTGTAACTGAGTCGACTTCAAGCGCCCAGTTTCCTTGTACGTAGTGTGTCAGCTCAGGAGCAGTAGTTACTTTGAGAATATAAATCACCTGGAGCCTCTGTCTGTTGATTGTTCTGCACAGTCAGCTTATGAGATGGGTCGAAATATATCAGATTTCTTATGTATGATTGATTGGGCCTGGATGATGGCTCGGGATAACTGCTTTGATCCAGTGACGTTGAGAGAACGAGCACATTTTCGAAGAGGCACAGCAAAGTTTCGTGTCCCTGAAAATTTATTACATACTATGCCTTTGAAAAACCCATATCCGTTAGCGGAGTACTCACGTGAATTTGTCTTGCTCTTCCATCATGGACGAATTCGCCCCAGGTATCATGCGGATATAATTCCTCCCATCCATAATTAAAAGGCTCTTTATGCGACGGGAAAGCGTTTCTGGTTTGGGGGAATTCAAAGACATGAGGGAATTTAGAGATTCCGAAGGAAGGCTGTGGGCTACTGAAGGCGGATTGGATTACACCGTCCAAATCGCTGAGTGCCATGGAAGGTAGGTCGGGGGTTCCAACTTCATGATCGCCTCGATTGCTGTAGCTCTGGAGAAAATGAGAACAAATCTCATCATATCAGGGACGCACTCACCTTCAGGAAGTATTGGTAGTCGAGCAAACGAAGCGCGGGTGCCAGGATCAGAGTCTTGATGGAAGACCAGTGTATGGCACCGATAGAATGATCGAAACGGACTGCAGCTTCAAGTTCAGCGCGATATGGTAATGTGTGCTCAATTGCTGTTGGCAGATTCTGCAGGTACTGAGCATACAAGTCGTAGTTTTGGTGGGCGTGATAGATGAGGCGGTCCCAAGATTGGTTTAGTGTTGGGAGAGAACACGAGGACTCCATATCTTTCAAAGATTCATGGTGGAAATCTAGAAGGGGAATTAGATTTGAGAAAACGGAGTCTAGGTCCTCGGTCGATAGCAGTCCATGTTTGATAGCTGCAAGTCTGATAGCTTCCAAAGTCTCCAAGTCCTTGACATAGAGGCGCTCAGACTCAAGAAAATCAGGGATCAAGGACATCGAAAGGTAGCCGCGATTAGTGCGTGGGCCGGCAAGAGCAATTGCGAGCCGCGAATGGAGATCATTGTCGTCCAATTGTAGAAAGGGATTCCCTTTGCCAGTTGGCCCAAGTAGGAATAGAACCCGATTGACGAACTTGATAACCTTTGTATCGTATTAGTGCTGGAAAAATCGGCACGAGCAGGCACTCTGGGCATGAAAAAAGTGGCACACTCATCAAGTACTCTGCCCGTGTGTACACCTCCCTGCCACTGCATGTAGTGCTCCAACAAGTTTTCACATAGCACAAGGCAAAGAGCTTCCATCTTCTTTGGATTTCTGAAAATACATTGAAGCAACCCAAGCAGTGGCAGACAGGTGTACATACGAGACGGCTTGTTCCAGAATTAGTGTGCCCCACCTTTTCCATGCTCCGCATGGCAGGGTGACTGCAAAGTTAGATCACCTGTGACGATTACTCACCTTCATAAAGCGAACCAAATCATCGCCAAACAAGTCTATCATCTCGAAGCATGTTTCTGACTCCATGCGAAGCTGCTGAACGCAGACGTCTAGAAACAGCTCAACCGCAGCTTTCGCCTGCTTCTCTCGCAAGTCCATATGCTTTACCATGGCCTGCAGATCTGGTGGAGATATGTCGATGTTGAAGAGGCGTAGTAAAGGGAGCCCGCGCTGTAAAAAGTGCCAAATCAGAATAATGGCGTCAATTCTACCATGAAGGCGATGAAGAACTTCCGAGTCTTCCATCATCCATTGGCGGAACGTCGCGTCAGCGCTGAAATGTATCTGCAGGGACACACATTCGTTGTATAGAGAGAATACTGGTTGAGACCGTCTTGTAAACGCGGCTTGTAGAATGGTAGGTATTGGCCTTGGAATTTCTCTCAATGGTTGCTGATAGGTTGTTGTGGTCGAACGGGGAGACGATATGGAATGCGGTGTCCTTTCCGAAAAAGCTAGCTCCGGGCTAGGTTTCTCGAGGGCAAAGTCATCGGGTCCCGCTCCGCAGCAAGAAGACGAGAGGCCAAAGTGCGAGGCAATATGCCCGGCAAAAGGCCGTCGTTCAGGATCATGGTCTATCATTTCGATAATCATGTTTGGGATGGGATAGAGCTGGAGGAAGTGAATGTTAGATTTGTTAAGCTCGATCACCTCATGGAGCCAGAGTGTCACAGTGGATATGTTGCCTGCATATGATCTCCACGGCTGATCCTCGTTGGATTGAAGAATGGCCATGAGGTCCTGCCTTTTCGATTTCCGACCTCTGGAAGCTAGGTGAGCGATCATCTCAACGTATACGCATCCCAGGGAGAAAATGTCGGCCGGCAAGCCTCTCTTGCGATCAACTTCTGGAGCGGCATACATTCGTGTAAATGAAGTTGGTGAGTCAGTTTCGGCTTCGGATATGTCATCGTAAGAGCGTGTAATTCCAAAATCCGCAATATATATCTTGTACGCTGTTTCAGACAGTGGCGCGTTGCTGTCCCGTTTCTGTGTAACCAAAAGATTCTTGGGCTTAATGTCCATATGCTTGGTAGCATTCCGATGTAGAAAATCTAAAGTACGGGCAAGACAACCGAAAAAAGTGACTAGAGCGTGAAGTTTCGGTGCGGTCTTCTCGTCGCCTGGACCATCTGGTGACTCGGTCAAAATCGACTCCATGAAGCTGTCGAGGTTGTATTCAGCAGCAGGATACAAAAGTATGGCAAGGTCTTGTTTGAATGTGTAAGTTCCTACGACGCGAACGATATGGGAATGCTCTAAGCGTTTGAGATGCTTGACTTCTTCTAGGGCATCGGCGCGCTTCATACGACGATTGCATCGAATTGTCTTGCGGGCGAGTAAAATCCGTCGACAGCGTACGCTTTCAACAAGAGCAGTTGCAGAGGTGCCGAGCGTGTCCTCGACGGCCAGAAGGTCGTTGATTCGAAACCTCTCGTTGGGTTTGAACTCAGCGTGCTCGCCTCTTCCGGACCAGTCCTTCTCATCTAGAGGGTCTGGGATCAGTTTTTTGTCGGCCAACAGTTTGTACCAGGAGCTCCTATAGCGATTGTTAGCGAAGATTCGCATGCGCTTGACAATACATTACGTACCTTGGGATCTGAGGCTTCTCGTACACGTTCTGAGAGCCGGACCATGCTGTGCGAAACGTATCAATGCTACTTCGAACGCTCTTCGCTGTGATGTACGTGGAAACGCTCTGATTGGAGATGCTAAAGTTCGAAATGCTGAAATTCGAAATGCTTGCCCTGCGTGACACAGTCGCAGCATTCCTAGCCTGTGCTAGGTCAACAGTTGAGTCACTACTGACGCCTTGAGGCTCATAAAGCTGATCCTTTGGTAAGAACAGCTCATCAAGACTGTTAGCCAATGTTTTGATCACCTCGCCTTCATCCTCTTCTTCAACCGGCGATTGGTCGATAGCAGCGTTCCGGTCGGCCGCCAGTTCATCAATGACGATATTCCAGTCGGCCATGTATTGTCGGGAGCTCGCCGTGGAACGTAGGTAGGGCAATATCTGGCCTACACAGAGTGTCTGGGAGATGTGACACTGTGCGACAGAGGATATGACGGCGCGTGCTTGGGGACGACCTGGTGTAGTAGGAAGAATCGCGATGGTACGAAGAATGGGTCGCTTGTGAGAGGCGTTCGTTAGCTGTGAGGTTGACTCGAAGGACGGGGAAACATACAAGCCTGCAGCTCGACACCTACGGAGAGTTCACAGGGAGCTGAAAGGCCCTCTCCATCGTCGAGAGCAAGGCTGAGGCTGGGCCAAGGCTGAAAGATGCAGTGTCGGAGGTTGGTGTTGCGGGCGCCCCTCGTGGGATGAAGCGTGGGGAACATTTCCGCTAGTCACGGGACATCACATCCAAAACTACTCCGAAACATTGATAATCTGTGTCAAAAGCCGAGATTGGTATCCAAAATGCTCCATATTATTAAGAAAAGCATTTGGAGGCCTTTCTTGGCCTTTCCTGATCTAATTCTTGTATATCACGTGACTATCACTCTCCAGCTTAAGCTCTTAGGGACTTTAGAACTAGAATACATCTTCTGAAGACTTCTACAAGGAGCCGAAGCACCTCCAACGGTGGTAAGCAGCTGCACCCAGACTTTTGGCAAGGCACTGCACCTATATATAGCCTTGCGTAGTTGCCTGTCTCCCCGCATCTGATTGGTGAGCACCACACATGAAAAGCAGCAAGGCTGAGGATTCAGAGGCAGCCCATACCTTCGAAAACAGCCGACTCTGACTCTCACGAAGCCCAGCAAACATCTCTCATTCATCATCATGGATGTCGAAGAGGAACCCAGAATCACGCCAGAGGATCTCGCGTTCGCTCGCAATTGCCTAGGCTACTGCCTGGTTTCAAAGAGCCACGCCTGTTGCAACCCTGCACGAGGTTCCGCGTTCATTCCATCGCGAGTGCTCGACCTAGGAGTCGAAGAATTAGGAAAGAATCTTCGGTTGACGGCAAAGGAGGATTTGAGTGGTTCTTATGGCGGTACCAGCCCAAGCTGTGATGACGGCGCGGAGGATATCGGATCAAAATGAAGAGAATGCGAACGCGAACGGGAATATGTGAAGAGTAGGGCGGCATTCGGGTATTTGACATTGAGTCACCGCTGGGGGGAGGAAGAGTTCACCTGCACGAAGAAAGCGACCTTGGCAGAGCGATGCTCGAGGATCCCATTCAACTCCCTCAGCCGACCCTTCAAAGAAGCGGTCGTCATCACTAGACAGCTGGGCTACCGATATCTGTGAATTGATTCGCTATGTATCATTCAGGATTGTCCAGAGGAATGGGCTCGAGAGTCTGAGGCCATGGGCAAGATCTACGCGAATGCGGTCGTGACATCGCGGATGCGTCTATAGCCCCGGAGAGTTGGAAGAAGCTATCAAGGCGGAACAATTGGGCATAGGGTGCAATTCGGATTTCTACAGTGGGCAGCTTGAGTCGAGGGGCTGGGTACTGCAGGAACGTTTGCTGGCTCCAGCAACGATCTACTGCCACGGCCCCCTCCAAGCACAATTTCGTAGTTGTATGGATATCAGCCCAAAGACAGGACCATACTGGATTTGTCGATATGCAGAGATGTCGGGAATACTGGACTATCTCCCCAGCGCAAGTTACGGAAACCCTCCATTGGATATAACGAATATCAGCAATGCTCTTGCTCATTACGAATCTAAGGTGATGGCGGAGGATGCGGAGTGGCATTTTTTATGGCTTCATGTTGTCAACAACTGCTCTAAACGGAGACTCACATTCGCAAGTGATAGGCTTCCTGCGATAGCGGGACTAGCAGCCCTGTTTAGAAAAGGAGCTCGAAAGCCATATGCAGCTGGACTGTAGCCAGATTGGATAAGCCATTCTCTAGCCTGGAGCGCACGGCAACCCGTGCAAAGATCATCTGCGTACATTGCGCCGTCCTGGTCGTGGGCAAGTCTTCTGTCACGCGTAGATTACAACACACTGGCATTGGATTGGGACGTCCTTCCCTCAACCTCATACATCTCCATTCTCATCTTTCTTCGGCAAACCCACACGGGCCGCTAATGGCACGTAGTCAGGACTATCTCCAGCTGTGAGGGAAATTTACGCAAGCTGCCTATCGAAACCGCGGCCTGAATGAACGCCCTGTTGCGGTTATCCCTGGCGGCGAGTTCGAAATTCATCTGGATTACTGCTTAGATTCGATTCCACAATTTGGAATGGTATTCATGCTCTTGATCGCTGCATATGATCAACTTTCTCCAGCCGTCATTTCGCATGCCCTTGTTTTAGAAGAGGTCCTATCGGGCGAGGTCATCTTTGAAGAACCCAAACAAGAACCGACTCGTGCTTTTCGGCGAATTGGTGTATATGAGAGGATATTTAAACCATCTGATGATTTGATTAGGTGGGAGGAGATGACGATCACCCTTGTCTAAAATGTACTCGTCGCCGTTCAATATTTTGAATTATCTACCCTTTGTCCTTGCAATTGAGACGCAATTTTCTAAGTCATGTAGCGGTAATCAAAAGGGGCGCTACTAATCGAACATATCCCCTTTCATTAGGCGGACATACCACGTGACCTTACAACGCTCTGATTGGCTTAATATCAAGTCACCGTCTTTCAACGCGGAAAGCGGCCGGCCTGATACCATTTTAAAAGAGAAATCAAACTCTCGCCAGCGCAACACCACGATGAGCCCAGCTCACCTAGATTAGCCCCTTATTCGTTTACCGCTGCGTGGCTAGCTTAGCATACGTTCATAAACCTAAATGATGTACTTTTAAACATAGAGTAAACTCGTGAAGCCACCTCAGGCAGTGCTGAAGGAGTGTATATACAGATTGATGTTTTTGCACTCATAGTCTTTAGAATAAATGCCGCTTGGCACGGAGATAGTAACACAGAATGTACCTTGCTTACTTTCTTACTTATGTAAGATCAGTGACGCCCATCAGAAGAGAGTAATATCCTACAGTGCCTTGCTATAGATATCCGTACCCTATTCTGTTCGCTGTCTATGGAGCTTGAACATGACAATAGGAACTGAAGGCAGCGGATACAAATCCGATCTGCGTACACTCTGCTGACGCTGTCTGCGGCAGCTTCGCATGTTTACTAGTTGATCTCTATAACGAGGCATTGTGCATTCCCCTTTGCAGAATACATGATCATTAGTAGCCAGGTCAGCAGAATCAAGGTCTAGATCACTACTCCCGCACCCTAGCAATCTGATCGAGAGCTTCTGCCCGCAGCAATTGGCTTAACATCACTTCCCCGCATACTACAAACATCGCAGTCTAATACCCGGCACTAGGGAATCTACCGACAACGCTTGTGGTGGGCAGCCGACATGATCTCGAAGAGTCAGTCAGCCAGAGTCATCGTAAGAACTCGAGTCGATCAAGGACCGTCAACCTCATTTGGAGTTCTTTTCCTCTAAAGACCAGTCTCGACTATCATTGGATATAGCAAAGTCCCAATTCAGTGAGAAGACATGCAAGACGTGCCTTGGCATCGAATCGTTGCGTGAATAATAACCTGCTACCGGGCGTCTGGACCACAATACCGCCAAACATGCTATCGTGACAGTCCCGTAGAAGTGGGCAAGCTGCATGCTACGTTATCCCCCGCATTCTCTCCACGCGGAACCCCAGATTCTGTTTCGAGAGAACCAGGCCATCCCCGTTGGTGGTGGAAATCCAGGCCCGTAGTTCTCGTTCTTGACCTATCACCAGCCTGCTTGAATCATACTCGGTTTAGGAATGAACAGAAGTGGGCTTCTGACGTTAAGAAGACCATGCTCGAGTGACGGATATAAGGAGCGATGGGGATCCAACACTCGCGGTTATAATCTCAACCGATCTCGACGACACTGGTTGAAAGGATTGATCTTTTTGGGTTTGAGATTCAGCAATCATGGGCGCCAAACTCCACCAGTTCAACTGGTATAATTTCGTTGTCTGTGTTTTAGTCTCCTTGGGCCAAATTGCGTTCGGATACCCAGCATCTGTCATTGGCGTCACACTCGGAGAACCGTCGTTCTTGATCTATATGGGACTGCTGGACCCGAAGACGGAGGCCTTGACGCCTAATGCAAACCAGCTCATCGGGGCAACTTCTGGGGTGTTTCAGGTACGTTTTCCGCTGAGTGTCCGGAATCATACTGACGATGGTAGGCTGGGGCCGTTCTCGGTGTGCTAGCATGTAGTGTTGTAATGGAGAAATGGGGCCGCAAAGCTGGCATCATATATTGCGCGGTCTTTTCGCTCTTTGGCGGAGGCCTCTTAGTTGGATCGAAAAACATAGCCATGTTCATCGTCGCTAGATTCTTCGCCGGAGTTGGTAGTTGGGGATTCCTGGCAGTCAGTGCGTATATGACCGGCCCTCTGAATACCTCACGTCACAAAGCTAACGTTGAAAGCACCAACTTACACCACTGAGCTTGCACCTCCTGCGCTCCGTGGCTTCTTCGTCGGTATGAATGGCGTGAACATCGCTCTCGGTTATGCCCTTGCTTCGTACATGGGGATGGCGTTTTATTTCGCAAAGGACCCGGCTCTTCAATGGCCGGGTCCCTTGGGACTCGCCTTAGTCTGGCCACTAATGATGCTGGTCGTCATGTTCTTCATCCCCGAATCCCCGAGGTGGCTGTTGTTGAAGGGAAAGGTCGAGAAGGCCCAAGAGATTGCGTACAGGCTGCACAAGATCAAGAACGATCCCGACCAAGAATTTGCCCGAGGGGAATTTTATCAAATGCAGAAACAGGCTGAGCTTGATCGGACGTTGGAGCCTGGATGGGTGGGTATATCAAGCTCAAACTGAGGAACGAAGACTGACCTTATCATAGAAGGCGATGTTTTCGAAGCCCAGTTACCGGAAACGTACTGCATTGGCGACGGGGTTCGCATTCATAGGACAAAGTACAGCCGTTCTGGTCATCAACAATTACGGTCCAACGCTATACAAAGCTCTCGGCTACGGCACGAAAGATCAGCTCGCTCTCCAGTGTGGATGGATCACTGTCGGGATCATATTCAACTTTGTCGGAGCATCTCTGATGGACCGGATAGGACGTCGTCCGTTGATGATATTCGGTGTTGCAGCCTGCTGCGTAACCTTGATCATAGAAGCTGCAATGGTAGCCAATTTCGCCGCAGCGGGAACTAACAAAGCCGGCCTGGGCGTATGCGTCGCGGCCTTCTATTGCTTTCTCGCCGTGTATAGCGTGGGCATTGACGTCGCTGGAGTCGTCTTCTACGGAGAGTTGTTCCCTAATCATATTCGAGCGAAGGGCGTCTGTCTTTCAGTCGCCACCATTGCACTTACGGATCTCGTATACCTTCAAGCTACCGCTACAGCGTTTGCCAACATTGGATGGAAATTTTACTTGGTTAGTTCCTCCCCGGTTCCCAAATAAGCCATGAACTAACTACTGTGACAGGTTTTCATCATTATCAGTGGTCTCGGAGCCATCCTCATGTTCTTCGTCTTGCCAGAAACGAAAGGAATCTCTATTGAAGAGATGGCGAAAATCTTCGGCGACACAGAAGACATCATGGTGTATGCGGAAGACATTCACGTTGACCACAACACCCACGAACTCATCGTAGCGGCTCATGGAGACAAATCCGGCGAAGAGCTTACACATGTGGCAACACATCAAGGGTTGACTCCAGATATGGAAAAGGAAGTCTCTGCGACGAGGATCGAGCATGCGTGATGGATAGAGAAAGGCAAGTTGATGAAGACGATGATAATGGTGTTGAAGGCACTGCCAAGTTGTACAAAGTACCGAAAAGTTCTTGCCGCAGGAGGTTTAACCGATCACGTGTGGACATTATATCTCATTGTTTCTCATCCATGCATGATCTAGGACATATGTTGTCCTAGCATTAGAACTACCTTCATTTGATTTTCCAAGTCGGCTGTCGATTTTCATGATCTCTCGGATCTATCAGGTCTTAAACACGTGACCCATAGAATATTCGTAACAACGACCACAATCACACCTACAGACTATCAAGATGCCGATCCATTCCCAAAATTACAGGCGCTCGCACTACTCCAACAAGTAAGCACAGGCATTGCCCTTTCTAGTAATGCTCTACCATCTTTCCGCCTTGATTTGCGATATCTTTCACGAACGGGACCATTCCGCCATGTTATTAAGCACTCGGGCCATGCAATCGCGTTCCGAGCCGGAGCGGTAAGCAGATCTTCGACCCCTGTATCTTCCTCGAAGCACGCGTGTACGTATCGGGCCTTATTATGTCCGAACGTCGCGTTCGGGATGTCAGATAGTTGCTCGAAGGGCGCGGCCTTGTGTATAAAGTGCAATTTAGACCATGTTTGCCCGTCGAATATTTAACATCTCAAAATGCTCCAATAGAAAATGTGAAGATCTGTTATACATTCTTAACAACTCGCTTATCAGCAAGCCCGACCATCAGACCACGCAGAGACCCCTGCCCGGAGCGACTTTCGGGCTCTCCAGGAACGATCCCCGATACATGAAAACACCACAACCACCCGCATGAACGCAACGATTCCGGCCAAAATCAAACCACCAGCCCCACACACCGCCCTGCCCATCAACCCTCTCGAAACCCCTTACATAAGCTGACAAACCGCCCCGGAGTCCCATGCTTCCGTTCCGGAGTTCTACACTCCTTTTCGCGGCCGTCCTCCTAATCGGGCTGCTCTTGCACGCCATCCTCCCCGCCTCACACGGCAGCATATTAGAAATCGCCATGCAACGCCTCCCGCTGCTGCGCCCGGGGCTCTACAAATACCTTAATGCCTCTTCTATCCAACACCGCATCAATCCAGCACTCTCGCATCTGCACTCGACTTCCCAATTAGACGTGAAAAATCAGGGCATGGGCTTGATCGACTCGTTGAACAAGCGCTTCAAATCCACCTCCAGCCACAACAACCCCGCTAAAGAAAAAGAAGCGGCTACTACCCCTGCGCCCACCACCACCACTGCCCCCGCGACTATGGCATCTAAAGTCTCTTTCATCGACGCCGTCAAAGGCCGCCGCTCTATCTACGCGCTGAACAAGAACGCGCCGATTTCCGACGCCGCGATCGAGCAGCTGGTCAAGGACACCGTGCTCAGCGTGCCGTCCTTCTTCAACACGCAGACCACGCGCGTCATCGTGCTGCTGAAGGAAGAGCACGACAAGTTCTGGGGCGAGCTCGTGACGGGGGTGCTGAAGCCCGCTGTGCCGGCGGATCAGTGGGAGGCGACGGCGGGAAAGCTGGGGGCGTTTGGGGCTGGGTATGGAACCGTACGTATTTCCCGTTTCCTTAATTCGACGGTTCATCGTGGGGAGGTTGAGCTGATTTCGATAGATCCTGTTCTATGAGGACCCCGAGCCTGTGCTTGCGCTGCAAAAGGCTTACCCCATCTACGCCGACCACATGCCGACGTGGTCGGAGCATACGTCGGCGATGCACCAGTTCGTGCTGTGGGCGGGGCTTGAGGCGGAGGGATTTGGTGCGAATCTGCAGCACTACCACCCGCTTATCGATGCGAAGGTGGCTGAGCAGTGGAAGGTGCCTGGTGACTGGAAGCTGAGGGCGCAGTTGGTGTTTGGAGGGAAAGCGGGCGAGGCGAACGAGAAGACGTTCAAGCCGATCGAGGAGAGGGTGTTTGTTCATGGGAAATAGGCGGGACGTCTTGCGACAGCGTGATCGAGTAGAGGCTAGCCATAGATGCGAAATAGAATACCCATTAGGTTGATCGTTGCTGGATTGAGAGGATTGGAAATGTACGAGAGAACTTTGCGTGAATGTACCCTAGCTATCTGGGCTGACAGGCCTCACGCATGGCGTTCCCGTGCATTGATGCCACCTCTTATAATCATGGGTGGCAGGATCAAAACAAGGGTAGATCGAATCGCCTTTTCTTTTCTGAAATTGACACCGACATCTTGTAGCACGGCAACAAATTCCTCGAGGTTCTCGCCCAAGTAAAGCCCCAACCGTCCGTGCTGCGAGAGATCGAAGATATGGTTCAAGTGAGAAAAGCCTTGGTCCTTGAAATCCGGAAGCGCGAAAGCAAACGCATACAGATGATTAGCTGTACTCTCTGCCATCGATGTGATGAGGAGGTTGTGAAGAGACGATGGGAGGACATCCTTAAGCTGAACATTGCTGTCCACGGGCCAGCCATGCATCAAGAAGGGCCCGGCAATCTCCAGCCGTTTCAAATAAACGAACCTCTTGAGAGACCCAAGAGGTGCCACCTCCCACAAGTGGTCTTCCTCTGCTACGTAGATGGGGTCCTCGTCGAAAGCGAACGTTATGCGCATGTCGACAAGCGTGCTTGCCTGCAAACATAGCGCTTCGTGAAACCGGATATACCCGTCATGCTCAAGCATTAAACAGCTTTTTGATAACTAGCAACTAAATTCCTGGAGAGCTTGAGATGCTCCAAGTAATTTGATGAGGAATGGGGAGCCGAACTGGCACTGGTCAATCTTCAGCCGAGTTATGGCGGAATAACCATCAACGCAGTGCCAGTCCTCAAGCGTCAACTTGTCACCGTAGTGGTAGAGTCGTAGCTGTGATAGAGATGGAAGTTGGAGGATGACTGAAAAAAATTGACCAAATCCGACCGGAGCTTCCCACCAACGGTTACACCAAGGACGGCTTGAGCTGCCAAAGTCGACGTGGATCAGCGCCTGGAGTTTGTCTTTAGCATTTGTAGATGCCCATCGCAGCGAGCGTGCCACTTTTGGCAGTGGATAATCCGAAGGGCCGAGTATCAAGAAGCGGAACCGCTTGAGGTTTGGGGTTGCTGCCCACATGAGCGCCAGCCCCGTCTCCTCATGCTTCAACAATAATTCAGAGTCTCTCGAATCACCGAGTATGCTCTTCAGTTGAGAACTCGTCAGCTTTTCGGCCTATCGCCGAACCGCAAGTTGATCTCATCGGGACCTGTCATGAACTGAGGCACCTCCGAGATAGGATTTAGTAGGTTGGGGATGTTGAAGTTATTGAGAGAAATTTTCGTCACGGAGCCGGTCAGAACTCGCGCAAGCTGCGGGATGGCAAGGCCATGATTCAGATTCTAATTGTTCTCGTTGATATAGAAGAGGATGAGGAGTAGGAGCTCATCGGAAAGTTTGTCGAAGACCGTCGGGGTGTGGTCGCCTCTTGAAATGAACCATCTTGGCAAAGAACGCGTGGGTTGATGAGGCTCCAGATTTTGGGAGCCTGATACTACATATCCTATTCAGACGCTTGCTTTAAACATTCCAGATGGCCGATATAGAGCCGAGTTGAGATGCGGCGAAAGTTGCCTAGAGGGCAGATTAACTTCGGTACGTGCAAGAGTAACTAGTTGAAACGATTAAACTGCCCTTCGCCCCTCATTGCCCCCAGGGCGTAACACTCGGACCCTCCAACCTTGTTCGCACCATTTCCATCACCCATCCCGCCTAACATGGCATGCACCATCCTATAGACACTGATTTTTTGCATCGCGCCTCGTGGCTTCGTCTTTTCTTGAGCCATGACTGATAAGCCATGGTATCTTGATTCATCTGACACTGAAGACAACTCAGACCTTTGCTCGACCTGTTGCGGAATTCACTTTGAATGGCTTCTTCGTCACGATCTCGAACGCAAAAAATGGCAGAGGCACGTCTCAGGAGGCTCTAAAAACGATCAGCCTCGTCAAATCAAGCTGTATTGGCAAGGCCAATGGACAGACTTTGTCGTACCTGAAATACCCGCAATCCCTCTCGGACTGCTAAGTGACATCTTTTCGAAGTCAAACAGCTGCAAGTTCTGCAATCTTGTCATCTTGGCAATCGCTGTCAAGTACGAAACCAGTCCCGAGGATCTGCAATCTATCAACATCGATGCCTATCCCTTCCCACTGATTTTCTGCTCGCTAGGCACACGCAGAAAAAGAAATGCCGAAGATGAGGTGTACGATTTGGTCATCTCCCTCGGGACCATTCGAGACTTCCATGTCTTTGACAACATATCCCTACAACGGCTCCAGGAACATCGCGTGCCATGGGAGGGCGCCCGGGTCCATGAGCAGATCAATTTCGAGGATGCACGAGATTGGGTAACTCAATTCAAACCCACGCATTCAGATCCAGGCGCTGTGGATGACCCCCTGGACGGGTTCCGGCTCATTGACGTATGTAATCAATGCATTGTCCCGATCGAAAGACCTCAGAGTTGCAGGTATCTCGCCCTGAGCTATGTTTGGGGCGGACCTCAATATTTCCAGAATACGAAAGCAAATGATGGTCGCCTAAGACGCCCAGGAAGTTTAGCTTCGATCGACGGAGGGCTACCTCTGACAATAGCAGATGCCATGCTCTTCGTGTCCGGCATCGGCGAGCGCTACCTGTGGGTGGACAGTCTTTGCATTGTTCAGGACGACGAAGCTACAAAAACGATCCAGATCAATGCCATGGATCGGATATACACGTCCGCCATGGTCACAATAGTGGCCATGTATGGCTCTAGTTGCCACGCTGGTCTCCCTGGAGTGCGACCAAACAGTGGCCGATGGAAGCAACACCTCGTCAATGTTCGCGGTATAACGCTAGCTAATAGTCAGACTATCATTCCTACATCTGGTCCAAAGGACTGGACTACGCGTGGATGGACGTACCAAGAACACACTCTGTCAAGGCGATTGATCTTCTTAGCCCATGATGGTATTCAATACGAGAGTGAAGATGGCATCACCACAGAAGACATCCACCAGCCTTTTCATCACGCTGCAGAGGACGATTTGCCGGATGGGCGAGGGTTTCCTACGGGCGGATCCCTCTGGAGGGCTGCCGGAGCTATCGCCGTTCTAATGAATTTCGCTCTTGCAGTCCACCTCTACTCCGGGAAGACGCTTACCTACCAAACGGATACCCTTAGAGCCTTCGAAGGAGTCCTCAACGTTATGCGCTCGGATCTCTGCCGAGATTTCCTTTATGGTATGCCATCTTCTGAACTGGATGTGGCGCTCCTATGGCGTCCTATTCAGCATCTAGAACGCAGACTTGACGATACTACTAGGGAGGAGCTGTTCCCAAGTTGGAGTTGGGCAGGCTGGAAAGGCATAATACACATACCCGTTTTCGAATCAACCCATTTCAGCCGCATTATCTTTGTCGATGCCGAGGACGAGACAGAGTTCACCACGAGTGAATGGCGTGGAACGGAAAGCGGCTTGACAACCTGTGACGGCGTGGTATGGCAGCGCAAGCCCTTGGACATTGACGCTCCACCCGGTTACTTCAGAGACGGGAAACCCAACGTCATGTTTCCGCATCCGGTGTCCAAATCGATCCCCACTGGAATGCAATCGCGAAGATTTCTACGGGAGGACTCCCACACTTTGACATTCAATGCATTCACAGCGCACATATCGACCCAGCCCGGGCAAGGAGTCCTGAAATTTACCAAGACAGAGTTGAATTCTGAACTGGATCCCGGCGTAAATTCTCGCACGCTCTTGGACCGCTACGGCCGCTTCTGCGGTACCGCGTATTTTCACTGCGACGGCAGCTCCGGTCTGGAATCTGAATGTTTTGAGTTCGCCGCGATATCTAGAACTGCGTACGGCGCTGACAATGAAGCTTGGGAGGACCCGCCGGAAGATGATGCTGATGTACTAGCTCTAAGAGAGGGATACGCGGAAAGAGAGACGCTGCGTAAGATGAGCGATGACAGGGGCGCGGCGTCGTACTTTAACGACTATTCCTGTGAACTCAAGTGGCAGGCGTATGATGTGCTGGCACTGGAGTGGAGGAATGGAGTTGCTTGCAGAGTGGGCGTTGGATTCTGTCTTATTGAGGCTTTTTGGGACGCCGAGCCTGTGAGAAAGAGGATCCCTCTAGCGTGAACTATGATATACGAAGGTCTTCCTATTTCTATGGCGGTTTCGAAATGACACACGTGTCTTCATCTTACGGTCCACCTCACTCTCTACTTGAATAGATCCAGCCCTTCGGCAGCACTAAATGGGCAATTCAACCCACCACCTCGCAAGCCCAAGGCCTTCCCGATATGACTTTCCGCGCACCCTCTATTCGACCACGGCAGCTTGAAATCTGCCCAATGTTCTTTGCGAGTGCCGTCGGCAAATACATAGTTCGTTCGAGGCTCATACTTCCATGCCGTCACGACCAGATTGCTCTTTTTCACCTCATTATCGATTGACTCGCCCCAGTTGCCATCGTCCCACCCCGAAATATCAACATGGTATTCGCCAGCGATGACCTTGTCAGTGCGCCGACAGGCGACGTAGACGTGGCCGAGATGCTCGCTGGTGACGGTAGACAAGGCGGGATAATGTGAGCCTTCTCCATTCAGGCCTCGCACGCCGACCTGTACTATCAGCCGGGAAAGCATGCTAGCGCAAAGACGCACACTGACCATAATTCGAACCATTGATCCAGCCTGCATCGTGTATCGGCTTCTCGTCATCGGCGTACTTCATGCACGAATCGATCATCCGCTCCGTGGCGTCGTAGCAGTTCTGCCCCAACCCCGTCGCGTAGACGGATATCAAGTACCCGTGTGGGACGACGCCGGAGACGCCGTGTACGTGGGGTTGCGCGCAGCTCCTGAATGATCTGAATGTGCGTGCTATCCCGAGGGGGGCGGCGAGTGTGCGGGTGCCGGGTAATTGGGGGATCTATTGGGAGACGACGTGTCTTTGAGTGGAGAGGTTTGGGGGATCGAGGAAGAAAAGAATGTCGATAGAAAAGGCGCTGAGTACTCCGCTGCTTAGCGGGTCTTGGTTCATGAAAACCGCCAGTACCACTTCTCTACATTACCTGAATTGTGTGGGGGGGGGTGTGGTCCGTTATAGTGTGAAGCCTTAAGAAGCGAGGGATGTAGTAACGGACAGCAGGATAGGTGACCGAAAAATCGACTTAAAAAGCCGACGACACATGGAACTGCTACCTACTATCTGGTCGCTATTGACCCACTCTTGCCGCAATCTGATCTCGCGAAGCGGCCATTAGTCTTCATCTGAAACAACGTTGGACCAAAGCCGTCACGGAATCGTTCAAACAACGCAAATTCATGTCTTTCTCAGCACTCTTCATCAAAGTGGGAATCTTGATTCCAAGACTAAGTGGTGAAAGCCTATGGCTCCTTACCCAGAAAACTGCAAGGATATTTCAAGCATTGAGAGGTGATTCCGATGCAGCTACGAGGAGGGCTGAAAAATTTAGACATAAGACCGAATATTTCTTGAATCTAGAAGCTTTGAAAGGAGATCATATAACACGACAACTGAACTCGTAAGCACTAGCTCTTCTTCGGTGCGTTTGTTCCTGCATAGCTGACATCCTCCGAGTCGTCGACAAGCGCTCAGAGACCCTCAATCTCCGAGGCAAAAGGAGAGAGCAAGTACCCGTTGATGCAAATAATAGCGAGATGTGCAGAGTTTTGGAATATCAGACGAGAATCCGGACTGCGACATGATTCTCGAGTCTATCATCTTTTAGCGACTGTTTCTCTAGAATAACAAAGAGCGGACAGAGCGGACAGAGCCGTCCCGTGTAAGAGTGCATGTAGGCACATCCGGTGAACTAGCGCGGTAAGCAAGCCACGATAGTCAGCCCCGAAAGTGGGATGATCTGGAAAGTTACACCTCTCGGTACCGTGCTTTTAATAGATATCGCTCAGTTTTGGTAAGAATCAGTCCAGAAAAGGGCTTCCTCCGTTCTAATACCACCTAGTCCACCTGTGGCTTCAAATCTGCGCTAGTTCCCCGGATGCGCCTTGACGCTGTAGATCTTATAATAGGCCAATTGTTTCATCGTCTTCTTCCTCTCTTCCGAAACATATCATACCACTCCGTTACCACAAAAGTCCTTGGCGGTGAAGACTATTATAAGATCTGTTCCTCGGCACTATTCTACAAGGGCAATACCCGCCACGCCCACCAAGGCTGAGGGCGTATTCTATCCCCTGTCCGTCAATGGAAAAAGGCAACATATATGGGCCATCGAAAGTCATAGACTTCAGGGCATATGCAAGTTTCGAGGGCGCAAGTGTCTTCGTTATTCGGCAGCATTCAGAGGACGCCTTCCAGCGGTACACCGACATGCCTATCCTTTCTGGAGTTCCGCGCAGCAAAGAAGAGCAGTGCAATGGAAGGATTTCTCAGCGCCTGGTGAGGCTGTGAAGAGCCGGCGCGGGGCGCCTAACTCTGTCGATCGACCCCCAAATTGCACCTTGTGTGGGGCCATAAATAGCCTGACTCCCAGCAGCCCCCGCAAATACAACACCAACAGCCTGCTTGATAGGCCCACGACCCTTATTTCCTCCGCTGAGCCACTCTTGGCCCAGCGCTCCCACAATGCGAGACGCGAAGGATTCACGGTTGCAGGCGCAGGGCTGGCAATGACCGTGACCGTGGGCCCACGATGGGGTTTCGGGTGCGACTCAAAGACTGTGGGATTCCGTCTCCGCGTCTCTTCCCCCATTATTCTCATCCTTCATGCGATTTTCTGCAGCTGTGTCAACTTCGAACAACACCATGATTACCCGATTTGGGCTACCCATAGCGGGAGCCGTCCTTCTCGCGACTCTAGTTCCCGTCGAAGCCATCAAGGTGCCAACCAGCTGCTACGTGCCGAACGGCGACCCTCGGACCAACCACAGGCCATGCTACACCGACACCGCCGATGGTCACAGTCACTGTTGTGATCCTATCAACGAAGTCTGCTTGGACAATGGACTCTGCTTTTCTCAAGGGCCGACGAACCCAGGATATCTCTACCGCGACTCTTGCACAGACAAGGGTTGGACAGCCTCTTCTTGCCCAGGGCCATGTCGCAAAAGTAGAATCTCAAGCACCGGAACAATTTGAGACCACGCCGCTAACACACTTCTCCACAGCATACACCAACTCCGCCTGCCCCATCGTCGGCATTCTCGACCCCAGCCAGGACTCCTCGTTCTGCTGCCTGAGCTTCAACGCCACCGCAAACGCCTGCTACGGCGAAGTCGCCGCTTTCAACGTAGGCAAAGTCATCCCCAACTGGGGCCCTCTGGAGGCAGCCGCATCCTCTAGCACCGCTTCCGGGACCCAATCTACCGCATCGCCAACTTCTGCGACGTCAGCACCGGCCGCAGCCACGGTGACAGTAGTAAAGTCGAACTCGAGCAGCGGGCACGACGCGGCGATCGGAGCGGGAGTTGGCGTCCCGCTGGGTATCTTGCTCGTGGCGAGCTTGGCGGGCTTGCTGTTCCAGCACCGCAGGCACAAGAAGCAGCTCGCGCAGTGGCAGCAGAGCGGGAACGTGGCGGGCGTGGCCCACCAGGAGGGTGGTGTGGCGTATCCTTTGCAAGATCCGAAAACGACGTATCAGCCTGCGGCTGCATATCAAACGCCGCCACAACCGCAACCGCAACCGCAACCGCAACCGGCTTATGAGATGCCTAATGTGGAACGGACAGAGCTGGCGTAGAGTCAGCGTGTGAATATCGCATCTTCAAAAATTGTCTTGGGGCGAAAGTGAATGGTTTGAGGAGGAGATGGATTGAGACCGTGTGTTATGCGGTTTTACTCGGTCTTGAGGTTAGAGAGACACTTCAACTTAGGTTGATCATTTTTGTGCATATATGTACACAGCGAGGAGTTGGGTTCAGGATCTTCGTCAGGAGAACCGTCTTTTCATACATATTTTTTTAATATCGATACTTAATTTCCTATATCATTCCCTCAGTCTTTCGTTATGTCCTCGGTGCGCAACATAGAGCAAGAAGCGACAGCTTCGTCTTTCATTGCCTCTGATGTCGCAATCAACCTCCTCAAGTACGCATATTCTGGCCTTTTGCGACCTGGCATCTATGCTTCCATAGCGAAATGGCTACTGTACTTGTAAACCCGTAGCGAGGCTTCGAAGAGGCCGAAAGTCACATCATGATGTAGTATTTGGCAAGGCATCACGTGACTTTTGGGCTAACCATCTTTGGGACCGCGTTAGCGTCAGTTTTGACTTCAAATATGTCCCGCTAACGTATTCCACAAGCGAGCCGTCCACCCAAGCGAGCCGTCCACTTCATCATGAAAACCGGCCTCAAACGTTAATTGCTCCACAACGCCAATAGATATCAACTATATACAACTTGTAGCCTAATCTGCAGCAACCTCTGCATCATTTTTGCACGTAC